GGGCCTTGTACGATGGTTACGAACACAGCAAGAGCACGCCGCACAAGCCATGATTACGCGTGCATGGCTCAGGTACAAGGCATGGCAGCACGACATATATCGACATCGGATATGGCAAAGGCAGTTGCACCGGCTTGCGCAAGACTTTGGACTGACCACGCCCAACTTCGATGGACGGCCACCTGCACAACACAGTGGCTGCATATGCTATGAGTGTGGCAAGATCCTAAAAATTCGGGGAGCATGGAAGCGCCACCGCACCATGGAGCACATCGGCTATGACCTCCCCGAATTACTCGCCCGTTCGACAACCTGCCCTGGGTGCAGGAAGGACTTCATCACGCGATCGCGCATACTCAAGCACCTGAGAAGGTGCCCCAGGTGCCTGGCTGTACTCCAAGCAATTGAAGTTCCAATGGACTTGCAGGAGGCAGCCGAACGCCGAGAAGAAGAACGAGAGGCGGTGGCGACGAGGAAGGCAATGGGTCATGGAGCTACTAAGGCGTTGGTGCCTGTTCAAGAGGTCATGCGCATCAAGCTCGCCGACCACGTCGAACAACATCAGCTCCAGCTCTCGCCTGCGCCGCCCGCAGCAGCGGCCCCTCAAGCAGCGGCGCCACCAGCAAGGCCATGCGCACCGAGCAGGTCCATGGTTACTACTGCTATGTTCTTGCTGCACCTTTTTTCAGGTAGACGCCGAGTGGAGGATTTCAAGCACCACTTCGAGATGAGCATTCGGGAATGCAATTTGGTAGTACTATCAATCGACGTGCAGATAGACCCCGACAAAGGCGACCTGACGAAGCCAGACGTCGTCGAGTTTTGGCGCGCTGCGATGCGACAGGGCAAAATATTCGGCATCGTAGCTGGCCCCCCCATGCGAGACGCGGTGCTCATCGCGCTGGCACGCCGCCGAGGGCAAAGCTCCATGCCCACTACGTACACACGACTTCCCCTGGGGCATACATGCAGCCAATCAAGCGGAGCTTCAACAGCTAGCACTAGCCAACGAGCTGTGCAGGACAGCCTTACTACTCATCACCACTGGCTTGCAGTACAATGTGTCCGCTGTACTCGAGCATCCTGCTCCAGCTACTTGGTGTCCTCGAGCGCCGAGCAGCTGGCAGCGAGCGGAGACGCTTTGGCTGTTGGAGCAGACGAATGTCAAACTACACTACATCGACCAGTGCCAGTTTGGGCAGGCCGCGCGAAAGCCAACATGTCTGATGGCGGTGCACCTCAGCGAACTCACACAAGAGCTTGAGGCAGTACCTGGGGGACAGCTGTGCCGACATAACGGACACGACAGAGCTTGCGGACGAGACGGCCAGGGCGGCTGGAGGACCGCCCCCCTCAAAGAATATCCGTCAAAGTTGTGCAAGGCAATGGCAACGGCCTTCGCAGTCCATTGGGGGCAGCTCGCTGACGAAGAGGCACTGTGGGCCGAAACGGATGAATGCTATCACAGGTTTTATGCCCCCCTGGACTACTACATCGAGCCAGAGCAGCTGGGCCACGACTGTCACAGGACATGGGGCAACCACCGGCGCTAGCAGATGACGCAGCAGCGCGCGGTATTACGACTGCCTGCACAAATATTTGGGATAAACTGTTGTCTGTAATATTTCATATTTGCCTGTCCACGGGACGGACCATCAGATTGCAGATTGGTGCGCAGATTGGCAGCTTTACAGATTGGATTGCAGATGGTACTACAGAATGGAGTACAGATTGGTAATATTACAGAGTGGCAGCAGGCGAGAGAGGGTCAGCGTACCTACTGTATGAACTCAATACTGGGAGTGACCTGCGAGGATATTGGTCCATCAGCATGGCTTTGTCATGGACTGCGATTGCGTGCCATTCTCGAGGGGGGGGGGGCCCGTAGCGCCCATGCGGGTGGGCACGATCCCTCAAAGGCGACGGAGCGTGCCCCCTCCCTCGAGTATGTTTACTGGTATGTTTATTGGCTTTTCTTTCAACTCTGGCATTTGTTTTCTATGAGTATCTACCGCCCTGGGTAAGGGCAGCATAGCGCCCAGGCCCCACGGTATATGTTTGGATATATCTGGACATCTCTTGGCAGGCGGGCAGCAAGACCGACGGGAGTACCCCGAGCCCGCGCAGCTACATTGCAAGCAGGTCAAGCAGTATCAGCGAGCAGCATGTGGGAACCGAGTATCCCAGGCCAGCGCAGCGTGGAGACAAGCACCACCATGGCGACCAGTATGATTGGGTCAAGCACATCATGTGGTGGTGCTACTGAGACAAGTATGACCACGGGCCCCATGCTGCACTATTTCGAACACCACAGGCATGGGCACGGTCACTGTGGATACGGCAGTACATTCGTGGCGACGAGCGTCCTCGGCGACAAGCACTACGGCGGCATGACTTAAGTCATGAGGAAGCCCCGAATGCGTGGGAAGACCTCAGGCATCGTCGCCAAATTTTGCTTGGGTTAGGACGCAAGTCCTGGGGAAGCCCCGAATGCGAGGGAACACCCCGGGCACAGGTCGCTACGTTTTGCTGTGGATATCCTGGCGGTGACGGGTCACATGCAACTCGGAGGACACCAGCTGGCTGGAAGCGGGCGATTCACACGACGCCGCCGCACTACTGACCGATGCCGACATCATCCCCAGCACGGCCCTGCACACCTTTTGTCAAGTCAACGCTGCCCTGGTGAGGCATGGATCAAACTTCGAGACGGGCTCGAAGGGCGGGGGGGAAGGACGAGTACTTCCCGCGCCCACCAGGGGGGATGGTGAGGGGCAGGGGGGGGGTAGGACGGCCACTACCCGCGCCCCCGCGGTCCGCCCTAGCTCGCCACCCCCACCATCCCCATGGAGAAGGAGGAGCTACCCGAGCGCCCGAGGGCGAAGCATAGGACAGCCGAGACATCCCACTCAGACAATAATAAGTACCAGGCCTGGGGTTCGCCCCCACCGAGGGCACAGTGACCCCTAGCCATAGCGGGACGAGGTGGGACAGCCAAGACCCCCACTTGAAGTCGGTGCATGGAGGCCATGGGCGCCCACGGCCATCAACACAACACCAGCAACAAACCGATTTCCCAACGACCCAACCATCACGCTCGACAACCCACACCCAGCCAACAAACAAACGACCACCACACCACAACCACTCCTCTACATCAGCGCCTACCTGTACATCAGCGTCGGGGGCTACATGATTGAGGGCATTGGATCTACTACGGTTGGTCGAGTACCATGATGACCAGCATGATTGGGCATGGCGTACGCTGGAGTACCACCTCGACCAGCACGACTGGGACGAGGGACGCACGTCCGAGCACTACAGAGCCAAGCAGTACTGCAGGCTCGAGTACACCGGAGCCACCAGAAGAGAAGGGGCAGCCTGCCCCTCGGCGTGGGATAAACAGCGCGAGGCGCCGAAGGGTGTATCCCCGTCGCCCTCGCGTGGCATGCGAGGGGCCGAGGCCAGCTGGCCTTAGTCGGCACGAGGAGGAGAGAGCAGCCGCCAGTGTGGGCCTGCTGGAGCCCACGAGTGGCTCGGCGAGCCTCCACAGCGCGCGGCGCCGAAGGGTGGAGGCCGCCACTGCGGGGGGCAGCCAGCCCCTCGAAGCCGCCCCCACGGCGGCTGGGCTCAGCGCGCCGCGCCGAAGGGAACCCAGCCGCCACCGTGCGGCCGCCGGCCCACGAAGAGGCCGTCGGCGTGGCCGTGCGCCGTGCCGCGCCGGCTGACGCCCGCGGGCGTGGGCGCGCGCGGCGCCCGCCCATGGGCCCTGACGGGCCCCCTTTTTTCAGAAACCCGGCCCCCTCCTCCCTCTCCTGAGGTTTATATCTGGTCCCTGTTCCTCCCTGCTCTCCTCGGGGTCGGGTTCCCGGGGCCGCTGTTCGAGTGCCCGCACGGCCCTAGTGGGCCGCTGCGGCGCGCTCCGCGCCCGCGGGGCGCGCGACAAGACGCTGTGTAGCGAGAAACGTCAGAAACGTCAGTGGGGGCACAGTGTAACGCCTCCCCCCCGCCGTGCGCACGGCGGCAGTGCCCGGAGCGCACTGGGGGGGAGGGGCGTTACGTTATAGGGGGGAGGGGGGAAGGGGGGCCGGGGGCTACACCCTGCGAAATGCTTAAGAAATCATGGGTTAAGAAATTCATAGTCTCAGGACTTGCATAAAAAAACCCAACATTCCTATGAAATCTTAGGATTTGCATTGAAACATTAAGAATAATCGAGACTCTGGCCGAAAACTTGGGTTTTCTTAAGCATCGCCTGGAGTGTATAATGCCCACGCTCCAATCGCACCGCTCTCAGCTCTGGCGCGCGCAGGTGCGTCCGGAGGCACGGGGGTCCCACGGGGTCGTCGGAGGAACAGCCCCCGCGGGCCTCCGCAGGCGGGGGGCGCGCCCGAGTGGGTGGGGGAAGCGCGAGGGGGGCAGGCCTAACCCCCAGGAGCGGCGGGGCCTCCCGGGAACCTTCGGTGGCAACTCGCAGGAGCCTCCCATGAATCGACGCTGCTGGAGCCTCCCAGAAGCCTCTCGGTGGCATTCGCTGATCGGCGCGAGTCGACGCTCGTCGCTGCGGCATCGACGCCGCCCGTCGCTTCGGAGAAGTGGGTAGAAACATGAAGCAGGAGGCGTTGTAGATCGGGTCTCCGCCCACCCCCCGAAGAGGAGGGAAGAGGGAAACACGCCCTCCTCCTCCTCCTCCTCCTCCTCCTCCTCCTCCTCCTCCTCCCGACCCTTGAGGTAGGAATGCGCCCAAAGCAGATTGGGATCTGGCAATCGAAGTCGGCGCTCGCCCATCGACTCACAGGCGCCCCCAGACATGCGACCTCCAGATTTTTGTCAACGGGGCGCCCCCGGAAGTCCAGACCCTTTCCCCCCGGGCCACTTTTTCCTCCCGGATCGCTGTCTGACCGTCCCGGGGGCCCCGCGGGGGCCCCCAGGGGCCGAGCATAGCGAAAAACTTCCCGGGGCCCCGCGAGGGCCCCCCCGGCGGGTGGCGCCCGGCCCGCCTGGGCTGCCGGCGGCGGGGTGCGGCGAGGGCGCGTCGTCCTCGCGCGGGCGCGCGGGGCGCGCGCCCGCCGAGGGCGTCGGATGCTCGCTCCGGGGGCCTCCCTGCCTCCGCCATCTAGCAGTCGGCGGCGAGCGGGGGGGGAAGTGAGGGGGAGGAGGAGGAGGAGGAGGAGGAGGAGGAGGAGGAGGAGGAGGAGGAGGAGGAGGAGGAGGAGGAGGAGGAGGAGGAGGAGGAGGCGGAGTTGGCGGGGGAGATGGAGGAGGAGACGGAGGAGGAGACAGAGAAACAGAAGGAGGAGGAGGAGGAAGAGGAAGAGGAGGAGGAGAAGGCCTTCTTAGAAGGCTCGGAAGTCCCCCGGGCTTCTGAGAAATTGTCTAGGCCTTCCCCGAGGACAACACCTTCTCGAATGGCGCGATGGCTTCTGCGAAGTCCCGCCGCCTTCTGAAATGGCCTTCTCTTCCTCACTTCCACCTTTCGCTCGCAGCCGACAGATGCTCGCTCCCGAGGCCTACCTGCCTCCGCCATCTGACAGGGGGTGTGTCGACCCCTGTCCCAGGCTTCGTGGGGTCTTCGAATGGACCAGAGATTCGGGGGGCAACCATGGGATATCTGGGATGAAAGGGGGCGTCCATCCTCGATAGGGGTCCGTCCAAATAGCGCCCTGGGGTGCATCCAAGAGTTTCCCTCTTGTCCTGAGCGGCCGAACTTTTCGGGCGGAACTCGGGGATTTGGGGGAGTTGAATTGTCTGCGAACATCTCCTACTCCTTCTCATTCGGATGACAATCTTGCTGTTGGCCTCACAGTCTCAACTATGATCAAACATCACTCAGTGCTGCCCCCCACGCGTTGGGCACGGGGACTCGGCTCTGCTAGCCATCAGCTCGGAGGCATGGCCCAAGCAGCCTACGGAATAGCAGTGAATGATACGAAATTCACTCAATGCAGATCGTGCCTCACCGCCCGCACGGGAGCCTGACAGGCTCCGGCACCTCCTCCACATCCTTCTGAGGAACATCCTGGAGGCCTCGCGCGGCAACTTGAGGACAAGATTACGTCGGATCCACGTCGTATCTACGTCGGGTGCACGTCGGATTGCGGCGGATTCGCGTCGGATGTACGTCGACCTTCGCCCAGCGAACGTTGTCTCATAGCTGGCGGGGCGGACTTGCGAACGATATTGTAAAACTATTGCGCGCCCATCGAGGCTTCCAGGAAATTGCTCCTGGACCTCCCTCTCCTGCCTCCTTTCCTTTCGAATCTCCATTGTCAGAATGGAGCCGCTAAGTCACACTGCGTTTCTCGAGATCAGCGTTTGGCCTTCCGCCTCGTTCAGGGACCACCCGCCTCAAGGCTGTGTGATCCAACAGTATGCTGCCTTCTCCTCCACCTCCCTCCTCCTCCTGCTCCACTTCCTCCTCCTCCTCCTCCTCCTCCTCCTCCTCCTCTATATTTGCTCCCCCTCCTCCTCCTCCTCCTCCTCCTCCTCCTCCTCCTCCTCCTCCTCCTCCTCCTCCTCCTCCTCCTATCATCCTCTCAGTATCCCTCCTTCCTCTTACGTTGTTCCTCGGCGGCGAACTGGGCAGCACCCCCATGGTCACAGCAGGCGGGAGCCGACAAAAACAGATCTGGGAGCCAGCGCGCGCACGCCCCAGGGGATGCTGGATGGCGAGGGGAGGCGGACTCGACGGGACATGCCCCAGAGACGGCCTCACCAAAGCCACACCCCTCTTCCCCCTTCTCCTCCTCCTCCTCCTCCTCCTCCTCCTCCTCCTCCTCCTCCTCCTCCTCCTCCTCTTAGATGCTCGATCTTGGGGCCGTATTGGGAACATTGCGAGCGTCCGTCGACGTGAGTCGATTTCGACTGGACCTAGCGTCGAACTTGGGCCGAGCCAGGGCCGAAACGGAGGCGAACAGGTCCGTAAGGCGGGCCCCAGAAAAAAATAAAAAACAAAAAAAACGAACATGTAAAGAGGAGGCCGCGCGCCCTCTGCTAAGTCGGGGCATGAATCAAGGAAGGAGGAGCTGCATAAGCTGAGATTTCGGGGGACGCGGTTCTCCGAGATGCATGCTCAGGGGATTCCGTTCCAAGTTCTGGCTGCTGTTATGGTACTCTCGTGAGCTTGCTGAACTAGTGCTGAAGAACAATGGAGCTGATTGTCTGGCATTCCCTTCACACTGCCAATCTTGGATGGGTGCCAATTGCACGTGCTCTCATTCGGCGAAGCGAGGGCTCTGCGACCCTGCTGGTTGCCAATATTCTCCCGCCACGAGCATGGCACGGGATCCACGTCATTGTTTTTTCGTGCCGGTGATCGCGATCGTGATCCTGGTTCATGCGCTCTCCGGTATCTTTGCCACGGAGCGCTAAGAACCAAAAAAAACTGATTCCTCAGCAGAACAGAAGCGGCTGCCATCCAGGAGGGGAGGCCCGCTGGCCCTCCTCCTCGGCCCTCCTCGACCCTCTCCTCGATCCCCTCGTTCTCCTACTCCATCCTCTGGTGGCCAACGCGGCGTGGCCCCTCAAAGCTTGCGGCACATCTCACTCGGGCTCCTCGCCCTTGCAGCCCTTGTGGAAGTTCGTGCAGCAGTAGCCGATCTTCCGGGGCGACCACGACAACTCGAGGCAGTGCATGCAGTGGTGGTACCCGGCGTCGCAGTCGTAGACGCTGGTGTCGGGGGCGGGCGGCTCGCCAGAGGGCGGCAGGCCCGAGGGTGGCGGCAGCTCCGAGGGGCACCCTCGCTGGGCTGTCTTGCAGCAATATAGCTTCTTCTCGCCCGACCACCCGCGCACCCACTGCAGCGGGTCGAGGTCGTTGTATCCAGCATTGCAGTCAATGGGGCACGGCGACGTGGAGGTGGTGGGGCACCCCTTGTTCTCCATGAGGCAGCACTGCACCTTCTTCGCCTCGTCCCACGACTCTGGGGCACCTTCGCCGCAGTTGATCTTTTTCTCGGTGGTCGTTGGCGGCGGCGGCGGGGGCGGGGGCGGGGGCGGAGGCGGAGGCGGCGGCGGGGGCGGGGGCGGGGGAGGCGGCGGCCTCGTGGTCGTCGTCTTCTTCGTCGTGGTGGTGTCGGGTGGAGCCGTGGATGGCGGAACGAATGGCGTGGTGGTCGTCGTCGTAGTCGTGGTCGTGGTGCTCCCGGGGGCGAGCGAGAACAGGAGCAGCGGGAGCAGCAGCAGGGGAACCAGCAGCAACGGGATCACTACGCAGCAGCAGTTGGGCCCCGCGCCGGGGATGCGGAGGACGCCGAACTCGCCAGCGCCGGCTCCCACGTATCTGTAGGTCGTCTCCTGGACGTAGTCGCCCCCTGCCCCCACGTACGACAGGATCGTGCTGCCGCCCGCGCCGCCGCAGGCGTCGCCGCAGGCGCTGCCGGCGGCGCCGCCGGGGCCGACGCCGCAACAGGCGGCGGCGGTGACCGTGCAGCAGTCCGCCTGGCCGTACCCGTTGCCGTAGCCGAGCGGGCCGCCGCCGCCGTACCCGGCGCCGTAGCCGAGCGCGCGTCCGGAACCGTACGCGCCGCCAGCGCCGTAGGCGCCGCCGCCGCCGATGCCCGAGCCAAAGGCTCCACCGTAGCGCATCTTCTTCTGGCGGAAACGCGCCCTACCAGATTGGCGTTGCGAGATCAAGGTGTCTCGCCGCGAAATTACCAAGGGGTCTCCTTGAACCAAAATGGCTACGGAACCAAGGCACTGGAATCATGACTACACGGAATAGCCGGGGACAACTGCAGAAGCGGAAACTGTCGGGGGGCCGCGCGGATATCTCGGATCGGCGCTGCATGTATGCATGTGCGTATATGTATATACGCATTCCAAACAAAGCTTACACTCTGGGTGTATTGGATCCCCTCTCGGGATATGGGCCTGTCTGCCGCTCTAGGGGTTATGTTGTCGCCGTCGTCGCCCCGTCGCCGCCTTGTCGCCGCCCGTCGTCTGGGCATGTTTGTCGGTCTGGCAAGTATGCTGTCGTCGTCGCCGCCCCGTCGCCGCCGTCACCACCATATATTGCACCACGTATATTGCACCACGTAGATTGCCCTACGCGGGCTGAACCACATGGGTTGACCACATTAATTCTCCTTTTCCCCCAAAAAAATAGACTCTACCCCCCCCCCCGGGACTTAACGCTTCCCCCTGGGATAATATAGTTGCATGCTATATATATATACACATATATACATATATATATATATATATATATAGCGCACTCGTCCATCCTAAATATGAAATCGTATCATCCCAGCCAAACCGGTATCCCCCCTCCTGAGGTTTCCTTTTATTTATTTATGTGTATATATATAACAATGCGGTGACATTTGTTGTTCTAACATCGCACTTTTTCGCGAATCCCTTGCAACACATGGGACGAAGTGCGCACGCGCGCGTAGTCGCGCGCGCATGCCGGAATCCTTCAAAAACCTTCGGTGCCGGAAGAACTTCGCAATCGAGTTTCCAAAAACAACATACAAAAACACAGGGTTTCGCAACACTGATTTGCTAAAAAAGCTTCCGCGCGAGCTCTTGCAAAATCTGAAGAAAACCATGGTTTTTCCAGATTTTCACAAAATGCTACCAAACGGGCGTCGCGCGCGCATGTCGAAATCTGTCGAACGCCCTTGCGCGTGTGCCGTCGCGAGAATCCTCTGCAACAAATGGGACGAAGTGCAGGCGCGCGCGTCGTCGCGGGCGTATGCCGAAAACCTTCAAAACCCATAGGTTTCGGAAGGGTGTCGAAATCGCGCGTCCAAGAAAACCTGCAAAAACCCAAGGTTTCGCAACAGGGGTTTTCAACAGAAGGGCGCGCGCGCGCGCTCTTGCGTCGTCGTCGTCGTCGTCGTCGCCGTCCTCCCTCCTCCCGCGTCGTCGTCGTCGTCGTCGCCTACGTCGTCCTCTGTCTTTCCTCGTGCTCGTCGTCGTCGTCCTCTTTGGCGTCGTGGTCCTTTTCCGTCGTCGTTGTCGCCGTGGTCGTCCTTCCTCCTCCTCCCTCGTCGTCGTCGTCGTCCGTCGTCGGCGTCTCGTCGTCGTCCCTCCTATTTCGTCGCCGTCGTCGTCGTCGTCCTCGTCGTTGTCGTCGTCGTCTTCCCTCCTTCCTCGTCGTTGTCGTCGTCGGCGTCGCCGTCCTTCCTCCTTCGTCGTCGTTCGCGTCGTCGCCGTCCTCCCTCCTCCCTCGTCGTTGTCGTCGTTGTCGTCGTTGTCGTCGTTGTCGCCGTCGTCGTCCTCCCTCCTCCCTCGTCGTCTTCGTTGGCGACGTCGTCGTCGTCTTCGCGTCGTCGGCGTCGTCGTCGTCGTCGACGTCGGCGTCGTCGTCGTCGACGTCATCTTCGTCGTCGGCGTCGTTGACGTCGTCGTCGTCGTCGGTGTCGTCGTTGTCGTCGTCGTCGGCGTCGTCATCGTCATCGTCTTGGGTTTGTCTGGAAAGAGAATAGACTCTACCGCCCCCCCGGACTTATCGCCTCCCCTTGGGATAGAACGATTTCACATATATATATATATATACATATACATGTATATTGCATACTCGCCCATCCGAAATATGAAATCAGATCGTCCCAGCCAAACCGGCTTCCCCCCCTGAGGTTCCTTTGTAAAAAACACTATGCGGTGACATTTTTGGTTCTAACATAACACTTATTTTCCGCAAATCCCTTGCAACAGGTGGGACGAAGTGCACACGCGCGCGTCGTCGCGCGCGCATGCCGGAATCCTTCCAAAACCTTTGGTGCGGGAAGGATGTCGCAATCGAGTCTCCAAAAAAACCTATAAAAACCCAAGGTTTCGCAACACTGACTTGCTAAAAAAGCTTCCGCGCGAGCTCTTGCGAAATCGTGAGAAAACCATAGGTTTTTCCAGATTTTCACAAAATGCTACCAAACGGGCTTCGCGCGCGCGCATGTCGAAATCTGTCGAACGCCCTTGCGCGTGTGCCGTCGCGAGAACCCTCTGCAACAAATGGGACGAAATGCAGGCGCGCGCGTCGTCGCGGGCGTATGCCGAAAACCTTCAAAACCCATAGGTTTCGGAAGGGTGTCGAAATCGCGCGTCCAAGAAAAACTGCAAAAACCCAAGGTTTCGCAACACGGATTTTCAACAAAAGCGTGCGCGCGCGCTCTTGCGTCGTCGTCGTCGTCGTCGCCGTCCTCCCTCCTCCCGCGTCGTCGTCGTCGTCGCCTACGTCGTCCTCTGTCTTTCGTCGCCGTCGTTGCCGTCGTTGTCTTTCGACGTCGTCGTCCCTCCTATGTCGTCGCCGTCGTCGTCGGCGTCGCCGTCCTTCCTCCCCGTCGTCGTTCGCGTCGTCGTCGTCCTCCCTCCTCCTTCGTCGTTGTCGTCGTTGTCGTTGTTGTCGCCGTCGTCGTCCTTTCTCCTCCCTCGTCGTCGCCTTCGTTGGCGTCGTCGTCGTCTTCGTCGTCGTCGGCGTCGTTGTCGTCGTCGAAGTCGTCGGAGACGTCGTCGGAGTCGTCCTGGTCGTTGTCGTCGGTGTCGCCGTAGTCGGTTTTACCAGGCTTTGCAAACCAAGTTGCGGGTGGGTGGGTGGGATGTCTGCGCGAGCAGTGGAGCTGACGACTTCAAGTTCAGCAGAGTGGCTTGCACCACTTAGATTGGCCTTTCATTTTTTATTTTTAAGGAAAAAACTCACCCACCCCCCCAGACTCAACGCTTCCCCATTGGATACCATGATTTCGTATGTACATATATATAAACATATATATATGTGTGTATATATACACATTTATATATATAGATGTGTGTAATTATATACACATATATACACATCTATTGCACAATCGACCATCCTAAATATGATATCTTATCATCCCAACCATACCGGTATCCCCCCCTGAGGTTCCCTGTTTTTTATATGTAATAAAAATAATAATAATAATAATAATAATAATAATAATAATATATATATATATATAACAGTATGCGGTAACATGTTTTGCTCTAGCGTAGCACTTTTTCACGAAGCCCTTGTAAAAAATGAGACGAAGTGCACACGCGCCGGTCGTCGCGCGCGCATGCCGAAATCCTTCAAAAACCTTCGGTGCGGGAAGGATGTCGCAATCGAGTTCCCGAAGAACATACAAAAACACAGGGTTTCGCAACACAGAGCTGCTAAACGAAACTTCCGCGAAAGCTCTTGCGAAATCGTAAAAAAAACCATAAGTTTATCAAGATGTTCACAAAATGCTACCAAACGGGCTTCGCGCGCGCTCATGTCGAAATCTGTCGAACGCCCTTGCGCGTGTGCATCGCGAGAATCCTCTGCAAAAAACGGGACGAAGGGCAAACGCGCGCGTCGTCGCGCGCGAATGCCGAAAACCTTCAACCCTTCGGTTTCGGAAGGATTTCAAAATCGTGTGTCCAAAAAACCTACAAAAACACACGGTTTCGCAACACGGATTTTCAACAAAAGCGTGCCCGCGCGCTCGTGCGTCGTCGTCGTCGTCGTTGTCGCCGTCCTCCCTCCTCCCGCGTCGTTGTCGTCGTCGTCGACGTCGCCTACGTCGTCCTCTGTCTTTCCTCGTGTTCGTCGTCGTCGTCCTCTTTGGCGTCGTGGTCGTTTCCGTCGTCGTTGTCGCCGTGGTCGTCCTTCCTCCTCCTCCCTCGTCGTCGTCGTCCGTCGTCGGCGTCTCGTCGTCGTCCCTCCTATTTCGTCGCCGTCGTCGTCGTCGTCGTCGTCTTCCCTCCTGTCTCGTCGTTGTCGTCGTCGGCGTCGCCGTCCTCCCTCCTTTTTCGTCGTTCGCGTCGTCGCCGTCCTCCTTCCTCTCTCGTCGTTGTCGTTGTCGCCGTCGTCGTCCTCCCTGGTCAGTCGTCGTCGTCGTCGTCGTTTTCGTTAGTGACGTCGTCGTCGTCTTCGTCGTCGGCGTCGGCGTCGTCGTCGTCGTCGTCGTCGGTCTCGGCGTCGTCGTCGTCGTCGGCGTCGTCGTCGTCGTCCTCGTCGTCGGCATCGGCGTCGCCGTCGTCGGCGTCGTCATCGTCGTCGTCGTCGGCGTCGGCGTCGTCGTCGTCGGCGTCGTCATTGTCGTCGTCGGTGTCGCCGCCGTCGTCGTGGTCGTCATCGTCGTCGGCGTTGTCGTCGCCGTCGTCGTCGTCGGCGTCGTCATCGTCGTCGGCGTCGTCGTCGCCGTCGTCGGCGTCGTCATCGTCGTCGTCGTCGGTCTCGGCGTCGTCGTCGTCGTCGGCGTCGTCATTGTCGTCGTCGGTGTCGCCGCCATCGTCGTCGTCGTCGTCGTCATTGTCGTCGTCGTCGTCGAAGTCGTCGGAGCCGTCGTCGGTGTCGTCGTAGTCGTCGTCGGCGACGTCTTCGGCGTCGTTGTTGTCGCTGTCGTCGTCGGCGTCGCTGTCGTCGCCAAGAGCCATGTGGTATCCACCGTCGTGGTCTGAAGATGTTTTGCGACCAAGTTGCGGGTGGGAGGGTGGGATGTTTGCACTAGCAGTGGAGAGGACAGCTTCAAGACAGTCGAAAAGGATTGCACTACATAGATCCTTCCATCTCGAATGCATAACGTAGATTCTCCGCTTTTTCTGAAACAGTGGTAGGTTCTACCCCAGCACCTGGAATTCACGGCCCCCGCTTCCGTAATGCAATTTACATACGATCGTGCCCCATCGTCCATCCTAAACCCTAAACCTGAGCTCGTGTCATCCCAGGCAGTCCAATATCCGCCCCACCTCAACCTCAATGACAAATTCATCATGCGCTCTCTCGTCTGCACAGAGCCACGCGTTTGCAGAACAGCCCTTGTTCCACAAAAAGGAATGGGAACCGAAATGAACACGCGCGCGTAAGTCGACACGCATGCCGAAAACCTTCAAACCGTCGGTGCCGTAAGGACAACAAAATGGAGTGCCCCGAACAATATCAACACACGGCTTCGCAGCAACACTTTTCAAACAAGGTTTGCGCTCGGGCTCTTGCGGTTTGTCCTTATTGTTGTATGTATGTTTATATGTTGTGGCACTAAACAGCACGAGTATCCTAAACTGTTTGTGGCCTGCTACCGAACGGGCCTATCGCGCGAGCGTGTTGGCATCGCTCGGACGCGTTTGCGCGCGAGCTGTAACAGTCATCTTTCGCAGCGCAACTGAGACAAAGTGCGCACGTGCGTGTCGTCGCGAGCGCATGCTGCATTATTTCAGGAACCTTGGATTCCGTTTCGAGTGCGCATGGCCCACACAGCTCGGACACAATCATCAGCAGCGAGAGTGGTACCGGCAAAGCAAACTCGCTGCATACCTTTGACGGGTTGCGGCTGGTCGCTTTGCCACAGGCGTGTCTGTTCCCGCGCCCCCTTCTGCTGCAGGCTGGTCACCGCGCTGTTCATCCCTTCAACGTGCTGCAGGAGCACGTGCAGGAGCACGTGCCGGATTCCGTAGAGGTTTCAAAATCGAATATCCCGACAACATATAACAGCACGCTAGTTGGCAACATCCGTGCGCAAGAAATACTGGCGGTCGCGCCCCTTGTGAACCTTCTTAAAAACCAATCGGTTTTTTTCGGGCAGGCGGGCCCCTCGCCTCGCAGGTCGGGATAGCTCAAACGCCCTTGCGCGCATGCTGGGAGGGGCACGATCCATGCCAAATAATACTTTTTCTTCTCCTTCTTCCCCCATTAAGCCAACATGCCAATGGTGGTGCCCAACCGCATGCACGAGGCAAACCAGGACTCACGCGAGGGCCAACCTGCAATAGGCGAGCCAACACGCGAACCCTTGGCCTGTGCAGAGAAAGTGAAAATGACTTCGCGGGCCAAATAATACTATGCGGGCCGCCTTCGCGCGTCGGTCGGGCGCGCATGTCGAGTTCCTTCCAGCAACTTCATCACCGAAGCGGGGACGCCGCCACCGCCGTCGGCGTGATCAGCATCGGCGCCGTCAGTGGAGTGGCAGCGCGGCCGTCGCTGCCACACCATCGCCGCCAGCATCGCTACTTGTCACCATCATCGCGTCTACCCTTGCCGGCGTTGCAACGGCACCTTGCCCGCCCAACTGTGTGCCGTCCACCGTTGCCATCGATATCGCGCCTGCCGCTGTCGACTTTGCCACGATGTTGTCGACGTCGCCCGCTCGCGCTGAAGTCCCCCTTGGGAAATGCACAACGGTCAGCGCCACCGCAGCCGCGTCGGTTGCGCCAAACGAGCTAGCCGCTGCGAGCGCGAGCCTGTGCGGGCTAGCGTGGCCGCAGACATGCACCAGCCTACACCAATCGCCCATCGCAATCGCCGCCGAATGGGTTTTGCAAACCAAGTTGCGGGTGGGTGCGGTGTGATTGCGCGAGTTAGCAACTCACTGTTTCATTGGTGACTTGCACGAAACGGTTCGCCCTCGGGGTGTGCAAATTACAAATGTCTTCCGATCGTTCATCCTGAATCTGGACACGCATCACTCAAGCCCAACAAGCATCCCCCCATCATCTGCGAAAACATGGTATATGCGCGCACACACGTTTGACAAATATCATCAATATCAAAACACCCCTTGCAAACGTGATCGGCCCAAGCACCCAGAACCAGTAATTTAGAAACGCGATGCGTGGTTATGTTTCGAGACACCAGGTTCGGCTACACACAATTGCAATGCTGAGGCTATCGATCGCGACACACCGTGCCAGAGTCTATGCTGTGCTGTGCCGTGCCGAAATCAGATGCGTCATGCCGCAATGAATTGCGTTGTGCCATAGAGCGTTATGGACCAAGTCGCCCTTGGTCTCCGATTCCGGGCCGACACGGTTTGGATCTTAAGCTCGAGCTGTCTCAACGCATAGCTGGCCAAAAACTGGTTGCAATCGAAACGTGTGGAACGCTCAGTCAGCGCGAGCTCAGGATCCGACTCAATGCCGAAGCGGGACGACACGACACGGGGCGCAGGGCGCACGGGCGCGCCACGGAATGCGCAGGAATGTGCAAGGGGCGCGCACGGGGATGCGCCAGTTCAGTTCAGTTGGGGCGGTATCAGCCCACAAGGGACGTGACAAGGGACGCGCCACAGAACGGGCACGGACAACGCCAGGGGACGCGCCGGTTGGAGGACGTGTGTCCCGTTCTGGGGCGTTGGGAACCCATGAGATGTCACGTGTCCAGGCCACTCAAGGACGGATTTCTCACATGTGGTAATGCAAACACGGGGGGTCCAACATGGGACTACCATGTTAGATACTTCCCTGGGTGGTATAGACGCGTGAGAACAGTGGTTCCAGATCAGGACAACCATGTTCGACCCCCCCCCCTCTTGCGTGGCCTGGACACATGAAACATACACACACACGGTTCCAGCTCGGGACCACCATTTCGATACCGCCGTGGGCGGCCTCGACACGTAAGAAACACGTGGCTCCAGCTCGTGGATATCCACCTGGGCAGCCCGAACACGTGAACATATTTGTGTCCAACTCCTGACCCCAATGCTGGTTACCCCAGTGGGGGATCTGGACAATCACCAGCCGAAGAAACTGTCATATTATTCCAGGTTGGTGTATGGATCTCGACTCGGTGTGGCTCTTGTGGCCCCCTTCGCTGGGCGCGCCCAGACGACCACATGTTATATACCCCCCATCGGGTGGCCCGCACACGTAAGAGAAAGCATGTGGTTCCAGAACGGGACACGCGAAAACAAAGTGTTCCAGCTCCGGGCCACCACGTGGCTCAAGCTCGAGATCACCATGTTAGCTATCCCAATCGATGTCCTAGACACGTAAAAACACCAGGGTCCACCCTTGAGCAGGGACCGACCGTCCCGGCATTCCTGTAGTCCTACCACGAAATGTTCTTAGAACCCAGAAATGATCTAAGAACCGAAACAATGATCTTAGACCAGTAACCCGATGTGTGAAAACAAAACACTGCCAGCCAGGATCGTTCTAAGAATACTCCGTGCTAACCACACAAGGCTCTTAGAACCTTGTTTGGTGGGCCTATCGGCGAACCAGGACGCTTCGCCACTGCTTGACACCCCGGGACCACCAGGTTAGGTACCCCAATGGGTGGCCTGGACCGGTGGAAGCAGGTGGCCCCAGCTCGGGGCCGCCCGGCTCGATACCCCTCAGGGTGGCCCGGGCACGTGGGACGGAGTGGTTCCAGCTCGGGGCCACCATCTTAGATTGAAGGGGAACTGGGACGCACAAGCACATAGACACAAGTCACCAGATTCCCTGTATTTCCCCATATTTGCTAGGTTTCTGTCTTCCCCCCCCCCACTTCCCATATTTTCCAAAATGTTCTGGGGAATCGACGATGAATTGTGTCTGTGTGTTTTTTCTCCTGATAGATGCTTCGCTGGGTGGCCTGGACACGTGACAATGCGCGGCCCTAGCTCGGGCCACCACGCTGTAGATACCCCGGGGGGCGGATCTCGAACATCTCGAGCCGAAGACTATGCGTCGACTCCCTGCACGTCTGGTGTCGCTGTACTGATATTCGAAAACGTGGGGCCAATGCGAACTGCCCTGGCAACGGAGCGAGCCGCTGCACGGAACCGGGGCACACCTGCGCGCTTCCTCGAGGGGGCCGACCCCCCTCCCCCCCCCCCAGGCGGCGAGCCCCCTCCCACTTGTCGTGGCCCCCTTCCTGTGGGCAGACCAGGGCCCGGGCGCTCAGACGTGAGACGCCTGCCCGGCATCGACGACGCATCGCCGAGCGATCGGCGATGGGCCCCCGATGCTTAGCGAAACCGCACGCTCCAAGGCGGAATTGGGGGCCCAGGCCACGATCGGCGATCAGCGGGCGACGGCGGGTCGATGATGCCCCCGCCCCCAAGGCGAGTCCCCCCCCCTTGTCGTTGCCCCTGGCCTGTGCGCAGAACTGGGCGCCTCGCCACTGCTTGACCCCCACGCGCCCCCCCCCCCCCCGACGGCGGAGCGCCTCAAACTGCAACGGCGGCGGCCGAGACGCCCTGGCCGCGCGGCGCGGCGGGCGAGGGTTCCTCCTCCTGCCACTCCTCCTCCTCCTCATCATCTTCCTTCTCCACCGCCTCCCTTCTCCCTCCCTCCTCCCTTCTACTCCTCCCTCCTCCTCCTCCTCATCCTCCTTCTCCTCCTCCTCCTCCCCCCCTTCTCCCTCCTCCCTCCTCCCTCCTCCCTCCTCCCTCCTCCCTCCCCCCTCCCCCCTTATCCCACCTCCCTAGTTCCTCCTCTCCTCCCTCCCACCTCCTCCTCGTCCTCCTCCTTCTGCCTCCCCCGCCTCCTCCTCCTCCTCCTTCTGCTCCTCCTCCTCCTCCTCCTGCTCCTCCACCTCCTTCTCCTCATCTGCCCATTCCTCCTCCTCATCCTTTCCGACCTCCTCGTCTTCACCTTTATCCTCTTCCTTCTGCTCCCCCTCCTCCTACCCCTCCGCCGTTCTCCTCTTTGTTCCTCCGCTTCCCCTCTCCTCCTTGTCCTAATCCTCCTCCTCTTCCTCCTCCTCCTCCTCCGCCGCCCCATCTCCTTTCTCCTTGTGAATAACTCCTCCCTGTCGCACCCCTAGGCCAATCGAAAGGGCGGGCCGGACGTTTCGGCTGAGGCACCCTTACCATGTATGAGCCTGAGGCTTAGAAGCTAGCAACAGTTCGACAGGTGGACGGCGGGCCGCTTCCAAAATGTAGCTCTCGCCTTGGCGCCCACGCACTATCATCTTACAAATAAGCAAGGGCGTCAAGGATTGATGGCAGATGGTTTTCAACATGCGGCAGGTTCCCATTTTGTTATTGTACCGACCTCTTGGCCGCTGGTTTCCCCCAGCAGTGGGGGCGGCCCCAAAAAGTGCTTCCTCACTGCCACTTTCCAAAGGAAACCCATTAGTAAGGGAGTTCCTTTTGAATTCCTGATAAAAGGGGCCCAAACAATGAATTTATTATTTCAGCCCCTCGTTTTATCATGGATGCTTATTTGAGCATGTTCATTCTTGGGCTTGGTTAGGCTCAATGTTCTCTTTTTGTAGTCGGGCCGTTGGCCCTAGACTGGAGGGGCGACGAGCAGGAAGGGCCGGAGGAGGAGGAGGAGGAGGAGGAGGAGGAGGAGGAGCGTTTCGCCTTGGAAACACTCACATAAGCGGGATGTTGATTACGACGCTGGCTCTCAAGTGTGAAGTTCTCGCCTGGGACATCCTCCGAAAATGATATGCTCGAGATCGGGCGTCGGAAAGCCAACATGGTGTGAAGGAGCTTTTCCCTTGACACATCCTCACAAGATGGGGATGTTGAAGGACTTGTTTGCATGACGACGTCATTAAACGAACATGAAGCTTTCGCCTGGGGCATCCTCCTAACATGAGATGATGCAGATCGATCGTCGTATATCTAATATCGTGCGGGGGGGAATGCGTTTCGCATGGGGCATCCTCTCACGCTGTTGAAGGAATGGTTGTTCGACGTAGGTCAAACATGTGGTTGTTTGTTGGAGATCGGGCTTCGAAGATGCAAGATTGTGTGGAGGAGCGTTTCGCCTGAGACATTCTCACAAATGATGATGTTAGAGGACTGTCATACGACGGTGGCGACAGATAGGGATTTGTTTCGCCCAATCGGCGGCCAGTCTAGGGGGGGAAGTGACGAGGGGACGGGCCTTCTCAGAAGGCTCGGAAGTCCCCATGCGTCCCGAGAAGTTCTCCAAGCCTTCTCTGAAGACGCAGTACAACTTCTTCGAAGGACAGGAAGTGCTTCTGAGAAGCCCCGCAGCCTTCTGAGAAGGCCTCCTCCTTCTCACTGCCCCCCCTCGCTCGCTCGCCGCCGAGACTTGTTCGACCACAGCCCTCAGAGACGGAGTCAAAGACGACGTAGCGGACAAACAAGTCAACATCGTGAAAGAACACGCCCGTCGCCCCAAAACCCATCTTCCTGCGTCCTGTTGCAAACCGGATCGATCTGTGAGGGTCCAAAGCCCGAGAAATGACGAAAACGACATCGCCGATACCGTGCCGATGTTTCCCACCCTGAGCCGGCCCCCCCCCGGCGCTGCCCCTCACGGAAGGGTGCTCGGGGGCATCCCAGGCTGAGCCCCGCGGCGCCCTGATGCGAGGGTGGCGGTGCGCTCTTGCCGAGGCGGCGCGGGACCAGAAGACAAAAAAATGGCATGAGAATAAACTTTGGGCGCTCCGCGCGGATTTCTTGGATCTGCGCTGGGCCCCCCTCCCTGGCGCGCAGAGCGCGCCAGGGGCGGCGCCGGAAGCGCTGCCAGGAGGGCCCAGCGCGGATCCCAGAAATCCGCTCGGAACGCCAAAAGTCCAGTTTAAGGGTTTGTATTGTTCGATGGGCTCCTTGTCCACCACCAATGCCACAAGCAGGAGAGGGAGGCGGAGGAGGCGGAGGAGGAGGAGAAGGAGGAGTAGGAGGAGGGAGAGAAGGGGAAAGGGAAGGAGGGAGAGGAGGAGGAGAAGGAGGAGGAGGAGAAGGAGGCGGAGGAGGGGGGGAGGGGGAAGAGGAGGAGAAAGAGGAGGCGGAGGAGCAGGAGGACCTCCTCATCCTCCCTTCTCCCCCGCCCTACACCTGGTAGGGTGGTGGAACACTTGCACGTCAGTGATCGACTTTTCTCATTGGGGGTGGTCGGGGGCGCCCCTTGCCGAGCTCCGCGGCAGCTCGAACAGCCAAACATGTAGGCGCCATAATCTCTCAAGAACCTCCTCCTCCTCCTCTCCTCCTCCTCCTCCTCCCACCGCCTCCGCTTTCCGCCTCTCCGCCTCCTCCTCCTCCTCCTCCTCCTCCTCCTCCCTCCTCCTCCTCCTCCTCCTCCTCCCCTCTCACTCCCCCCTCCTCCTCTCCTCCTCCTCCTCCTCCTCCTCCTCCTCCTCCTCCTCCTCCCTCCGCCTCCTCCTTCCGCCTCCTCCTCCCGCCTCCTCCCTCCTCTCCTCCTCCTCCACCTCCGCCTCCTCCTCCGCCGCCTCCTCCTCCTCCTCCTCCTCCTCCGCTTCCTCCTCCCCTCCTCCTCCTCCTCCTTCCTCCCTCCTCCCTCATCCCTCTCCTCCTCCTCCTTCTCTTCCTCCTCCTCCCTCCTCCTCCTCCTCCTCCTCCCTCCCCCGCCTCCTCCTCCTCCTCCTTCCTCCTCCTCCTCCTCCTCCTCCTCCTCCTCCTCCTCCTCCTCCTCCTCCTCCTCCTCCTCCTCCTCCTCCTCCTCCTCCTCCTCCTCCCCGTCCGAGCACCCCCCGAGAGGTGCGCGCGAGCGCGCGACGGAGGCGCCAGGACCTCAGGCGCGCGTGGGGCGCGCGCGCCCAACTCCCATGGACCGATTTGCCGTCCTGAGCCGTTTCTTCAGATGGCCCCGATGCCCAAAGAGGGCCACATTGGCCGAAAATAGAACGGGACGCCTGGGCCCGTCCGAGCACCTTCCGAGCGGCGCGGGCGTCCGAGCACCCCCCGAGAGGTGCGCGCGAGCGCGCGACGGAGGCGCCAGGACCTCAGGCGCGCGTGGGGCGCGCGCGCCCAACTCCCATGGACCGATTTGCCGTCCTGAGCCGTTTCTTCAGATGGCCCCGATGCCCAAAGAGGGCCACATTGGCCGAAAATAGAACGGGACGCCTGGGCCCGTCCGAGCACCTTCCGAGCGGCGCGGGCGCGAGCGATTGAGGCGCGAGGACATCTCAGGGAGGCCTGGGCCCGTCCGAGCCCCCCCCCGAGGGGCGCGCGCGCGCGGAGGCGCCAAGATCTGAGGCGCGCGGCGGGCGCGCGAGCCCCGTTCCAGGTGGCCACATGCAAACCCTACCCCCGCCCCCCACGATATCTAAGGGGAGTGGGGGTAGGGTTCACATGCCGCCACCGATTTTTGACGGCCCCGAGGCCCGGTAAGGGCCTCGAGGCCGAAAAGAACGCAGAGCCTCCCGTCAGAGCATTCTTGCTCACGACTCGAGGGCGTCCGGGAGCGGGAGGCCTGGGCCCGTCCGAGCACCCCCCGAGGGGCGCGCGCGCGCGCGACTGAGGCGCCAGGCTCTCAGGGCAGCCCGGGCCCGTCCGAGCACCAGGCGAGGGGGCGCGCGCGCGCGCGGGGGCCGCGGGCCCGCCTCCCGGGCACCTCCGGCGCGGCGCTGCCGCCCCGGCCCGCAGAGTCGGCGGAGGGCGGCTGGCCCTGCGGCCTGGCCCGCGGCGGGGGGGGGGCAGGGGCCAGGCCAGGCGCCGACGCACAGTCGGACTTCCTTGGGCAGGGCGCGCGAGAGGACACGAGGCCCTTCCGAGGGCCACACTGCCACAGGAATGCAGGAGGCATGGGTCGCGAGGCACAAGACCCAAAGGGGAACCTTGATTTGGCAGGGGCGACCTACTAATCCGGGCCGACAGTGCGCCCCGGGAGGGGGGGGGGGGGCGGCCTTCTAGTAGGAGCTCGGCTGGGCCGCCGGAGCGCCGAAACTTCGACGTCGTGGTGCACGATCGCTTCAGGATCCGGGACGTGAATCGTCGCCTTCAGGAGAACAACCCTCCCCAACAATTTGGCCATGGCACGTTGTGCCAAGGAAGGGCACGCCGGCCTCACACACGCTTGTGCTCAGAGCGGCCTACGGGAGAAGAGATGGGACACGGAAGGACAGGCTAATATCAGGTCGGCACGTCCCCCTACAGGCGGATCTGGAAGGAAAGTGAACGAAAGACAATAGTCAGAAATAGTCCAAACATCGCCCCACGATTATTTTTGGGGACCGTCTTTGAATCGTCCTCCTGTAGAGGGACAGGCCCGACAAAATTGAAGGGGCCCGTGGACACACAAATTCGCCGGCCCAACGGGCCAGAGGCGTGCTAAGATCTCCGGTAACTGGTTAACAATTTTCTAGTTCGCGCGCGCGGGGCGGCCCCTGGGGGTCCCCGGACGAAAAGTACCCCGACCAGGTCCCGGCCGGGTCCCCCCGAGCGCTCCATGAGCGCACCAACAGGGCTCCGAGACGTCCCCGAGAGCCCCAAGAAAGGCCAAGAGGCCCCCAAGAGGCCCCCAAGATGGTACACGAGGGGTCCGACATGCCACAAGATCGCTCCAAGACGCCCAAGATAGCCCCCAGACGCCCCAAGAGGCCTCCAAGAGCACTCCCAATAGGGCCCCCGGAGGCAAAAATCATTGTTTTTCCATAGGTTTTTGAGAGATTTTGGAGCTTCCACCTTTTCGGCTTCCCGACGCCCCAAGACGGCCCAAGAGGCCCCCAAGATCGCCCCAAGAGGGCCCAAGAGGCACCCAAGAGGGCCCCAAGATGGCCCAAGAGGGCTCGAAGACGGCCCAAGAAGCCTCCAAAACGGTCCAAGAGGGCCCCAAGAACGCCCCCAAAGGGGCCCCAGAGAGGGAACACGAAACAACATTTCGAGCCCTCGGCCCTAAGAAGCCCCTACGAGGCCCCTAAGAGGCCCCAAGAGGCCCCCACGGGGCCCTCAGGAGGCCCCCAAGAGTCCCCCAAGCGGCCCCAGGAGGCCCCCCAAATGCCCCCCCGAGCGCCCCAGGAGTCCCCCAAGCGGCCCCAGGAACCCCCAAAGCGCCGCATTGACACCAGGCCCTCGGGCAAACGGCAGACATGAGACTGTATGGGCCGGCGGAATGAGCGAAGCGATTAAATAAAACAGACACAGATAATCAACAGGATCCCCAACCCCAAATCTTTCTGGGCCGCTGCCTTCCCCCCCACCTCCCATATCCTCCCATATCTTTCGAGGGAATCGACGATTCGTTGTCTCTGTGTGCTTTCGCTCCCTCCCGACGACTGCAAGCGCCACGTGCTGGCGCCGGGGGCGCACGGCCGGGCACCACGAGCACGCAGAGCACAGAAGCACAGCACGTGCGGCGTCGGCCCTGGGCCAGCAGCGCGCCCCTCGGGAGCCCGAGGCCCTCCGCCGGCCAGCGCGCACAGAACATCCTGCAGGGTACAGGGCAATGTTTGATGCATGGGAACGTTTGAACATATAGGATTGTGAATGCATGCTGCATGATTCCTTCAGGAATAAGATTAGGCATGAACTCATCGGTGTGTTTAATACTAAATCCCTTCATTTTTAATAAAGGATCCGCACGCGGAGCATGTATCAAAAACGGCACTGAACCTTCCCCAGGATGCACAGGAACATCCAACAGGCACAGGCCTCCCCCTGCGACGGCCCCAAGAGGGTACCCTCTCCAGGATGCACAATAACATCCAACAAGCACGACAAACGTCAGGGCACCCTCCCCAGACCGACCTCGCGCTTCCGCCTCAGTGCAACTGCCTAGTGCATCGTCTTCCCGAGCGGCGTGGCCAGAAAGCGAGCCGCCACCAGGCTGGCGCCCTACGACCTCGGGACGTGCGCGTCGCCCCCGGCCTGGCCGACGCACGCATCATCTAGGTTTGTTTGGGTGGTGCCAAGGGAATCTTTCTCGAGACCCTGGCGCGTCTGACGCCCAAGAGGCTCAAAGGTCCCCTCAAGAGGCCTCCTCCAACGACGGGTCCAAGATGGCCCCGAGACCGCCCCGTAGGCCTCCCAGCGGAGCTGGGCACCATCGGGTGCGCCGCAGATCGGCGGCACTGGCCAGAGGCCACTACGTGAGCGTTGCTTCGTTCGGCGTCTCGACATTGGGCGGAAGGGGGGGAGGGGGGGGGGTCTGGCTCCGGACCGCACCTCTGCTTAGTGCGACTGTTTGCAGCAGTGCGTCCTGCAGGGGAGGGTCCCCACCTGCTCGGAACAGGCGCCAAAAACGGTCAAGATCTACTCCAGGGGGGGTGGGAGGGAGGGGGGGGTGCGAGGGCCCGCGCCGATCGGCAAAACAATTAATAAAAACACTAAATCTGTTTGGATGGTGCGGGGGGGGGAATCTTTCTCGAGATCCTGGCGTCTCTATGTTATTGTTCGAGCCGGGCATTTTGTCGCCCAACGTCGGCCTTGGGACCCTTACAGATCGGTCCGGCTCGGATATAACGCAGCAAAAAGATGGGTCTAGGGCTTGGGTCGTGATGTCCTACAGTGTTCCGATTCTCTCGCGCCGTCGGATTTCGGGGTCTGGAGCTTGTTTTCAGCTAGATTCTGGAGCAAATGTTCTGCTCTTCTTCGCGACCGTCTTCCCCCAAACAGCGCCCGTTACCGCCCCTTTCCTCCCTCGATAAGGTCACGATTCGCTCCAGCGGCCGACCTCTTGGAGGGACGAGATTTATGTTGCATCCTCGGGGGACCTTGTCTGGCCCGTGGCGCCCCTATCCGCGTCGATATCCATGTCGAGTCCACGTCGGCCTCGTCGGATCCGTGTCGAATCCGTGCCGAGTCCGCTTCGAATCCACGTCAAATCCGCGTCGAGTCCGCATCGATCACGCGCTGGGCACGAGCAACAGGCACCAATTTGGGGGGGCAGGCGAGGCCCTCGGGCTATATGCTGCGTAACGAGCCGCTCCCCCCCGGCCCGACCCCGAGGAGACAGACGGCTCTCGTCCTTCTTCTCCTCCTCCTCCTCCTCCTCCTCCTCCTCCTCCTCCTCCTCCTCATCCTCCTCGTTCTCCTCGTCATCAGCTCGTCGTGGTCGCTGTCGTGGTGGTGGTGGTGGTGGTCGTCGTCGTCGTCCTTCTGGGTAGGCGGCACCGCGCCGTCCTCGAAGCGGACCCCCCCGTCCGCAGCGCAGCCGCGCCCGACGGGTGCCCCCCTCTCGCGCCCCTTTCCGTGGGCCCGCCCTCGTGCGAGCGCGGGGTGGCGACGTGCCCCGGCCGGGCGGCTTGGCAGCTTTGCGTTGGCGAGCGGCCAACGTTTTGCTCTCCGTGGGCGGGTGGCGATGGCCTGCGACCTACATATGGGGGCTAAGACGAGGGCCTTCCAGGAGCCGTGGGGCCCTGCCGGGCCCCTGAGGGGCCCTCGTCTCCATCCCCCCCCTTCTAGGTCCCCCACCCCCCATCGATGTCCGCCCAACCTCCGCGCCCTCGCGGTCTGGACTCCGGGGGCGTGGCCCCGCGGACACGCGGTCGCAGGGATGCGCTCCGCGCGGGGCATCCGCGAAGAGAACGGCGCGGGGCACCCACGGCGTCGAGGCCCAAAGGGGCCGGGGCCCGCGGGGCCGACCACTGTCGACTTCTCTGGCACATGTGCTTGCACGCATGGGGAAATGGCTCCCTGGCGAGCCCCGGAAGGAAGGCTGGATGAAGACCACGCAGGCCGAACGCTGCCTGCGCGCTCTTCTGGCCCGGCACCGGGTGAGAAGGCAGCGAAGCGGGAGTTCAATGACACGCCAGTGATCTCGCCAGGACCTACACAATGATAAGCTCCATCCAATACGACCCTTCAAGACCTCCGACGATGGCTTTTACGATCACGGTGTTTGTGTCCTTTCATGTCGGCCTCAGGGAAACGCTTGGGCCATCAGCCATGGATCCAGGGCAGGAACACCCTCCAGGGGAAAGATGTCGGGAGCTTGCGGCCGCGGAGTGAACGTGTGAGAAGATGCCTGGGGCCGCCAGCGAAGCAGCGGAGACTTACCCATGACCACGCTCTGGAGGATCGATCTTCGGGGCCCCCGGCAGGAGGTGGACAGGAGCGTATTTCCCCCACCCCCCCCCTCCCCCCGGGCCTGTACCCACAGCCAACAACCACTGCCAGGTTCCCCGAAGATCGATCTCCCCAGGGGGGGACTATGGATCCGCAGAAGGCATCTATACTCCACCACCGTGCCAAGGCAGGGCCATCCTGGGCCCCAGGATGGTGTATACGCCCTCCTGGCCGAGGCCAAGAGGGTCTATACACCATCCTGGGGCCCAGGATGGCCCTGGCCTGGCACGGTGGTGGTGTATAGATGCCTTCGTCGGAATGGATCAGCCCTCAATCGGACTGGCGCCCGCCTCCTTCGCCTCAGATCGTCCTCCTCATGCGCCATTCACGCCAACGTCGTCGTCCTCCGTTCGCCACCCTGACATCCTCACATAGGGTCAAATTCACGACGGGATAATTCAAGTAAATACGCACTCGCGGGATGAAAGACCGGTCCCCGCGAAGGGGTCCAGACGTCTGGGGAACCACGTCGTAAGAACATCGTAACAACACGTCGGAAATCTAGGTAGGAATGCGGCGGGAGCGGGGGTCCTGAAAGCCTGTCGCCGATTCCGGGGCCCCCGTCGTCAATCCCACTTCGTAAAGGAGACAGCGCAGTGCAGCGCCGCATCTGGCCCAGGCACGATCCAGAGTAGATTGCACCACGAGGTTCACACAGTGGCTTGTTCCATGCTAGAATTCCCTTAACTCTTCATTGCACTCGCCAGTTCCCTCGCCCAGAAAAATTAGCCTGACGAAGGACCCAACCATTTGCAGCTGTACCGCGAGGGAGATGAGACAAGTGGGGGTGCGCAAACTCCGCAAAGAGCCCGCGGTATGGCCTTCTGTCACGACACGTGTGAGGGATGTGCCGACATGAGTTGGGCGGACGCATGAGAGCGTCGTCATTGGGGCACTCCGTGGAGCTTACTATGGGGCCACGAAACATGTGAGGAGTGTGCTGGAATGGAGAGGCGGTGCCATGCGACCTTTCCCACTGGGGCCTTAGGTGGAGCTCCCCATGGGGCCACGAAGCGTGTGAGGGGTGTGCCGACATGGGGCGGCGGTGCCATGCGAACTTTTCCACTGGGCCCTTCGGTGGAACTCCCTATGGGACCACGAACCGTGTGAGTGGTGTGCCGAAATGGGGCGGCGGTGCCATGCGAACTTTCCCACAGAGGCCTTAGGTGGAGCTCCCTATGGGGCCCCGAAATGTGTGAGGGTGTGCCGAAATGGGGCGTCGGTGGCATGCGAACTTTCCCACTGGGGCCTACGGTGGAGCGCCTTATGGGTCCACGAAACGTGTGAGGGGTGTGCCCACATGGGGCGTCGGTACCATGCGAACTTTCCAACAGGGGCCGTAGATGGAGCTCCACGTGGGCCACGAAGCGTGTGAGGGTGTGCTGGAATGGAGCGGCAGTGGCATGCGACCTTTCTCGCAGGGACCTTGGGTGGAGCTCCCTGTGGGGCCACAAAGCGTGTGAGAGGTGTGCCGGAATGGGGCGGCGGTGCCATGCGAACTTTCCCACTGGGGCCTTCGGTGGAGCACCTTATGGGGCCACGAAACGTGTCAGGGGTGTGCCGACAAAGGACGGCGGTGCAATACGAACTTTCCAACAGGGGCCGTAGGGCGAGCTCCCCATGGGGCCACGAAACTTCTGAGGGTGAGCCAGAATGGGCCGGCGTTGCCATGCGAACTTTCCCACTGAGTCCTTCGGTGGAGCTCCCTATGGGACCACCGAGCGTGTGAGTGGTGCGCCGACATGGTGCGGCGGTGCCATGCGACATTTCTCACAGAGGCCTCGTGTGGAGCTCACTATGAGACCACGAAGCGTGTGAGTGGTGTGCCGACAAAGGGCGGCGGTGCCATGCGAACTTTCCCACAGAGGCCTTAGGTGGAGCTCCCTATGGGGCCCCGAAGCGTGTGAGGGTGTGCCGAAATGGGGCGTCGGTGGCATGCGAACTTTCCCACCGTGGCCTACGGTGGAGCGCCTCACGTGGCCACGGAACGCTTGAGGGGTGTGCCGACGTGGGGGCTGGGGAGGAGGGAGAAGCGGGAGGAGGGGGAGCAGGAGGAGGAAGAACCGAGAGGACACCCCAGGACTTGTGTTGCTGTTGCTCTCCGAGGGCAGGCACCTGCGCGCGCCCGCCGGCGCGTTACACTGTACATTGTGCACGAAGCGAGGGCGCCCACGCGCGACCTCACGCAGGAAGTCTGCGCGCCACTGGTCGGCGCGGGCGGCCCCGTCTTCCTACGCCCGTCGTCCTCCTCTCCTCTGCCCCTCCCCCTGCTTACAGTCGGACCTGATCGGGCAGGACACGCGAGAGGACGCAAGACCCTTCCGAGGGTCACACTCTGCCACAGGAATTCAGGAGGCACGGGTCGCGAGGCACAGGACACAAGGGTACCCCTGATTTGGCAGGGTCGACCTACTGATCAGCGCCGACTGAGCTCTTCCCCCTCTCCATTTGCCCTCCTTCTCACTCCCCCTTCAATCGCGCTTGTCTCCTCTCACCTGCTTGCCGTCTCGCTCTCCTCCCCCCCATCGGCGGCGACGATAGGGGCGAATAGCCCAGGGGCGGGCCCAGATTATCGGCGCACCTGGATACATGTATTGCTCTCCCCTGGGCTATTTCTAGGGGAACATATAATGATTTAACCACATAAAAACTCGGAGGTCCGCGCGGATTTCTCGGATCGGCGCTGGACCCCCTTCCTGGCGCGCGGAGCGCGCCAGAGGCAGCGCCAGAGGCGCCGCCAGGGGGGTCCTAGCGCGGATCCGAGAAATCCGCTTGGACCTCCGAGTTTTATGTTTATGTCATTCTTCGTTCCCCTAGACTCGCCCCTATCGTCGCCTCTGACCCCAGAGGCTTCGGGAGGTACACAGACGTTTCCCCCCAAGCTCCCAGACGCCTCCAGGCCTCCCTCCAGACAGGGCCCGTCCCCGCGACCCCCCCGCCCTGACGACGACCGCGAACCGCGAACCGCGAACCGCGACGACGACGACGACGACGACGACGACGACGACGACGACGACGACGACGACGGCCACCGCGACCACGAAGACGACGTCGACGACGCTGACCAAGACGACCACGACGACGACGACGGCCACCATCCGCGACGACGGGGACGCACAACCGGCGAGGCGCCGGCGGCCCCTCCGCCGGCCTCGTCTCGCTGCCGTTCGAGGACGCGCGGTCGAGCGTGGCGCCAGAGCTGACCCTGCGGGGCGCGTCACAAATCAGCGGTGGACAAACCTCCCTTTAGTAGACCTCCGCTTAGTCAAAACGGCCTGCGACCGAAACCGACGGGCCTGGACCCGCAAAAATGACGGCCACGACGCCCTCTCGCGAACCGAGAACGGCCAATTCCTCAAGCGACGTGTCAGGGTAGGAGGCCTGTCCAACCCCGAACACAAAGGCGCGGGGGGGCCTCCCGGTGGCGCACGGGAGAGACTCGCGCAGGCGCCCGGCATCTGGGCGTGGCTTGAGGGGGGGGGGTCATAGATGGGGGGGGGTCGGGCACGGCCCCCCTCCCTGCCCTCTTTTTGTTGGGCCCAAATGGAGCCCCAGGGGGCTCGTTCGGGTAGCGTTTGGGTACCTTTTCGGACCACCCTCGCCACTCGGGCCGGGCGAAAGGGGGGGATAGCACAGGGGGGTTTGAGAATCAGCTCACGTAGCTGATTTTTTCCCGGCGCCTCCCGGCGCCAGAGGCGCCCATGTATCGAGGAATGGGCCCAACGAAACCAGCTGCATGCAGCAGATTTCGTAACCCCCCCTTTCCCAATCCCCCCCTTTCGTCCGGCCCGAGCCGCCCCCCCCCATTTTTATGACCCCCCAGTGCGTGACGCCCAGGGCACGGGGCAGACAGCGCGTCCGGGGTGCAGGCGTGCCTCCGGCAGCTCGACCTAAAAACTAGGCTTTTTCGTTTCCGCTCTGCGTGCGTCTCCCGTCGCTTTGTCTTCGCTCCGCCTTCGCTGCAGAAGGAGATCCACGAGCTCGCCAACACAACAACAATTTGGTCGAGCCCTGCCCTCGGAAAACATGTCCTGGGTTGCCTGCGCGATGACGGTTGAGACAGCCCGATTAGGGCGCATGAGAGAAGATTAAGCCAGTTTCAGCCCGGACTTCAACCAAACATCGCCAAATTAAACAAGGTTTAACGAAAATAAGCGGGATTATCCTGGATTTGGCTGGCTCTCGACCACAGAGAGATCAGCGCCGATGCTGAGCTCAACCTCCCAGGAATTGCGTCCCAACGAACAAGTCCTGGAGCCCGTCCTCCTAGAGTCTAGGAGTCGCGGTGAAAGCTCTTCGGCGATGTTCGATCTCTGGGGGCCTTCTCGGGGCCCCAGGGCCGTCAAGAGACGACGCAGGGTGAAAAGCTGGTCTGGGGAAGGGGCAGGATCGATCAGCGTCGAATCGGGAAATTTGATCAAATCGGAATCGGATCGGATCGACCTGGCCGGAACTGAGGCGTCTTGTAGTCTAGAGAGAAACAAAAAAAACATAAACACACATGTTCGACGGCCCGCGCGGATGTCTCGGATCCGCGCCAGAGCCCTCTCCCTGGCGCGCGAAGCGCGCCACGGGCGGCGCCGGAGGCGCTGCCAGGGGGGCTCTAGCGCGGATCCAAGAGATCCGTGCGGACCGTCGAAACTTGATGTCTGTGCTTTTTTTGTTCTTCGAGAAGCCTCGGAGATACGAAACCTTTCTGACCGCAGCGACGCGGCTCTGCTTGCGTAGGCGGCATACCGTGATCCGCGACTGAACGCCGCTGGCTGATGCCTATGGCTGGCGCTGCAAGGACAGCGTGCGACACCGATCTCCGAGAGGCGCGCTGTCCCTGCGGGGCAATTGCCCCCCGTGAAGGCACCCAGCCGCTTCTCGACGGCCCTGGGGCCCAGGCGAGCCCCGTGGGAGCCCCGAGCACGGCCCGACGAAAAGACCTGCGGCTGGAGCGCGGAGCCATTTCGGGGAGAACGAAAGGGGGGGATGGCAAAGGGCAGGGTAGAGAATTAGCTCACGTAGCTGACTTTCCCGGCGCCTCCCGGCGCCAGAGGCGCCCATGCATCGAGGAATGGGCCCGGCGGCGGGGCCGAAACCAGCTGCATGCAGCAGATTTCGTACCCCCCCTTTCCATATCCCCCCCAACTGTTCGGCCCGACCATCCGTCGGGGGAGCTGCGCGAGCTCGCAGCGGGAAGCACGGTGGTGCCAAGAAGATCTCCGGCTGGGCGATTTCGGAAACCCTGACCCCAAACACGTGTTCATCTCTTGGGGGCACATCTTATACTTCCGCCGCCTTCCGCCGAGCTTCCGCCAGCTTCCGCTGGCGGAGGCGGCCTCGTTTTTCTTCCGCCGACCTTCCGCGGCGGAAAAGATGTCAACGCCTTCCATCCTCGAAGGCAAGGTCCTTTCTGGAGCGTCTCAGCTGTGATTGCGCAACTGCTCCGCCTGGCTCTGGGCCGTGGCTTGCGACTGCTAGATTCGAGCATCGGTGGCTGCGATTCGCGACACATTCACGCAATGTTGCACTCATGCATACTTGCACACCGGCAGCAACGCATGCATACCATGTGCAATCACGAGCTGCTGTGTGCAATCACGAGCTGCTTGGGCCAGAACGGCTGCCAAAAGGAGCGCCAGCCCCCGCCGAGCTGCTTGGCAGGCAAGACAAGGCACGTCCACGTCGCGACGACCTGTGCGCTGGACTCCCGCACCGCGCAGATCGTTCCATCTTCAAGGGCGTCCCACGTCGCGCTTCGCGCTTCGCGAAGCGCGCATAACTTCGCGCTCGCGCGCCGCTCCCAAAGGTGAAGAGGAGGACGAGGAAGAATCGGAGCCGAACCGCGAAGCGCGAATCACGCGCATAACTTCGCGCCCTCGATGGCGCCCTTGAACCTTGAGCGAGCGCGGCTGTACGACAACGCAGGCCGCTCGATGCCGGCCGATCCTGGCCCGGCGATCCTGGCATCTCCTCCTCTTCTGAGCCCCCCCTCCTTCCGCTCGTGTATCGGGAGCGGCAAAGAGGGGGCTGTCCAAGAGGGGGGGGGGTGCGAATCATGGCCGGCGGCACGTGCGCGGCCCAGCGGCGGGGCCTGGGACGTAATGAAACAAGAAGATACGCCATGAAATCTGGGGAGGGAGACATCATGACCCACGCCATGATATCCACCCCCCCTAGTCAACACCCCCCTCTTTTCCGCTCCCGAATTTACCTCTCCTTGCCACTGGGCTCGTCCTGGGCCGGTGTGGTCGGACCGAAGACGGAAGAACAAGCTTCAAACCCATGAGACCCTCCGCCGGCCAAGGCACCCCAAACCAGGTGGTCCCTCCCCCAGGATGCACAAGAACAGCCAGCAACCACGAAGAACATCAGGGTACCCTCCACGAACCGACCTCGATCTTACAGCGGAGGCAAGTCCACAAGAAACATTCCACAACCACAAGAAGCCCAACCCTGAGACCCCAGGACGTCCATTGACTACTGACGTGGGAGCGTCCCGCCCTCCCCAGCAGGAGCATCGGAACCCGAGAAAAACCCAGGGCACCCCGGAGGCAAGCAGGACGTGCCTTGGCATGGGCCTCCACTGCAAGGAGGAGGAGGATGAGAACCTGAGGAGGGAGAGGAGGAGGAGGAGGAGGAGGAGGAGGAGGAGGAGGAGGCGGGAGGAGGAGGAGGAGGAGGAGGAGGAGGCGGAGGTAGACGTCGGCTCGACCGTGCGAGAGAGCAGGTGCGTGCGGGCCCCCGCGGCGCCGGGGCCGCCTCTTCGCCATCTCCTCGTCGCTGACCGCCTCGTCGTCCCTGGCGGCGGGAGAGCCTGGCGCTCCCGCGTGGCGGTGGGGTGGGGCGGGGCGTGCGCGGACCGAGGCTCGGCGGCGAGCCCCGGGGGGGGCAAGGCGCTCCACTCGTGCGTCGACGCTGCGTCGAGAGTCGAGTGTCTGTCGAGAGCTCCGTCGACTTGACTGGAGCTCGAGGCTGCGTCAGGCCGAAGGTCTGTCGGCTCGAATCCCGACCCTCTTCCCGGGACCGGCTTCTCATCCTGAGTCATTTGTTGACGGGCCCGAGGCCCGGCGAGGGCCCCCCGGGGCCGAAATTGGCAAAAAAACCTCCCGTCCCGATTTTCCTACGACGAGATCATGTCTGGTCTGGCGCGCGAGCGCAGGCAGGCTGCACCGCACCTGCTGCACATCACAGCGCTGCTCGTTGGCGCCTCGCGGCCGGCGAGGTGTGCCCTGCCCGTCGCGCGCAACGTAGCACCGCCTCGGCGCCTGCAGTCCGACCGGGCCAGGGGGATGGGCGACAAGGACGCGAGAACCTGGGACGCCCAAACTGAGGCCGCAAACGGGAGCAGGTCGCTGGGGACACTCGGAAATCCCACCAGCCCTCTGGGCGTTGGTGGATCTGGACAACGAACCGAAGTAGTTGGGAGGAGGAGGGCGATAGGAAGTAGGGCGAGGAGAGGATGTGAGGAAGCAACGGGGGGGGCAAGGGAAAGGCTGGGGAGGTAGGAAGGTGGCAGAGGGCGGAGAATGGCCAGGAGGATGGCGAGAACGATGGCAAGGGGATGAGGAAGAAGGAGGGGAGATAGGGGTAAAGAAAACAACAACCTGAACCATCTACCTTCTGTTGCATCCTCAAAGCACCTTGTCTGTCCCGTCGCGGCCATATCCGCCACGAATCCGTGTTGAAGCAATATCGGACTCGTCGGATCCGCGTCCAATCCATGTCAAACCCGCGTCGAGCCTACGCCAAGTCCGCGCCGAGTCCGCACCGAGCCTGGGCCGGGTACAACCAAAATACACCAATTTGGGGGACAGGCGAGGCCCCTCGAAGATGCAACGTAACCTCCCCTGCCACACAGCAGATGAGGAAGGAGGAGGGGCGACACGAGGGGAGGGCCACGAGGAGCTGAGCAGACGAGGAAGGAGGGGAGGGCCACGAGGAGCAGATGAGGAAGGACACGGGGGCCCCGAGGAGCAGATGAGGAAGGAGGGGGGGGAGACAGGGGGTGAAGGAAGGAGCAGCCTGACCCGCCTCCCCTGCCACACGGCACGAGGCACACGACGCAAACACACCGCTTCACGACTTGGGCGTTTCGTAATGGGGGGGGTCATACATGGGGGGGTGGCGAGGGTGGCCCGAAAAGGTACCCAAACGGTACCTAAACGAGCCCCCTGGGGCTCTGGAGGGGCCCGAAAGGGGCACGAAAGGGGACCTTTTCTGACCCCCCCATTTGTGACCCCCCATTAAGCCACGCCCAAAGCAGCGGCGAGGCGTTTTCCTCCACGCCCGAAACGGGTATGGAACGAATGGGTATCATGCCCAACAGCAGTTCCTGTGCATTTTGCCCATTAAGCCACGCCCAAACGACGTGGCTCCTCGGAGGCCCGGGCCCTCCCCGGGGCACCGCCCGACGCCTGCCCACACGGCCCCGGGGAGGCCAGCAGCGGGCCCCGGGGGCCGGACAAACGGCCCTCGGAGGCCGCAGACCCCCCCGGAGCACCCTCTTGCTTGCCCCGCGCGCCTGCTCCACGACGCGAGGAGGCCAGGGGGGACCCTGAGGCTCCCTTCCCCCCCAGACCCCCTCGAGCAATGAAAAAATCATGACGGGAGGTTTTTCCTAATCTTCGGCCTCCGGGGGCCCTCACCGGGCCTCGGGAGCGTCAAAAAACGACTCAGGATGCAAAGCCGGTCATGGGGAAAGGGTCGGGACCTCTGGGGGTCGACGTAATGAAAAAATCATTACGTCGGGGGTCTGGGCCTGCAGGCTCTCCCGAGGGGCAGCGATCGGTGGGGGGGGGGGAGGCCTGCACCGGGGGGGGTGGGGGCATGGACGAGGCATCGGCGATGCGTCGCCGATGGATCGGCCATGGGCCCCCGATAGCGAAACCGCACGCCCCTGGGCGGGTGGGCCAGGGGGCCCCTGCCAGCGATCGGTGGGCGACTGGGGTTCGAGGCGCTCCCCGCGGAGCCTGTCCCCCCTGATTCAGCAGGGGGGGAACGAGTCCCGAGGGAAACGGGTCCTGGTCCTCTGTGGCCTTCCCCCGGGACGCGCTCCTGCATCCTGAGCCGGTTTTTCTGACAGTCCCCGGGCCCGCGGAGGGGCCCGAGAGTCCGAAAACGATGGGAACCGCCGGGGCCCGTTTCCCTCAGCACCCGCTTCCCCCATGGCGACCTATCGTCGCCCCTGATCCCCTCACAGCAGCCACCGCGGCTTCACCGAGCGAGGAGCCAGACCGCGAAGAGGAGGACGACTGCCTGCGCAAGCGCCGAGGCGCACGACCGTGAGCGCGCAGCGTATTGCAGTATCCTGCTCCAATCCTCGTCACATCCTGCTCCAATCCTCGTCTTTCTCCTGCTTCTCCTCTCTGTCCTCTGTGTCCCCTTCCTCCTCCTCCTCCTCCTCCTCCTCTTCCGCCTCCTCCTCGTCCTCCTTTTCCTCCTCCTCCTCCTCCTCCTCTTCCTCCTACTCCTCCTCCTCCTCCTGATTCCTGATTCCTGATTCCTGATTTTTTATGGCTTGCCAGAAATCGTTCCCAGTCCTCCCTAGTCCTCCTCCTTCTCCTCCTCCTCCTCCTCCCTGCCCCCCCCGCCTCGTCCTTCTCCTTAGGGGAAGGGCGTAAAGAAGGGCAAGGCCATAGGGTGGGTGGGCTCGGCGGAGGAACGCTCTAACGCCCCTGGGCAAAAGGGTGCGCGAGTGCCCAGCCGGGCTCGCTCCCCGACGCGGCATAAGAACGTACCCTGCCTCTGCGGACTCCAGGTTTGGAAGAGGAAGAGGAGCCAAGGTGGTGCCACCACTGGGGTGGTGATTATTGTGGGGGTCTCGAAGGGGATGGGCATGGGGATGGGGATCGGTTCAACGATACCGAGCCGAGGCTATTGCTCGCTCGCTCGCCCGAGCAAGCGAGCGACCGAGAGGGGGAAGGGGGGGGCGAGGGAGCGAGCGAGCGAGGGGGCGAGCGAGCACGGAGGGCAAGCTGGTTGGGTGGGGGAGAGGATGGCCGAGGAGAGGGCCACAACGATGCCAGACAAGCCCGTCGCGAGAGCAAGATCAATGCCTGACGTGCCACACCGGGCGCACACACGGGCCCGTGGCCCGTGGCCCCAAAGTTGTCCCCCGTCCTTTCCCCACGCCTTCCTGCTTCCCTTTCCCAATTCCCTGCACCCCCGTTGCTCCCTCGTCCCAGTTCCCGTCTTCCACATCCTCCCTTTCCTCCATCTCCTCCTCCCCCTCCCCCCTCCTCCTCACACCCCACGTCGTGCTCTTCCACAGCGTGGCCCCCCGAAGGTCTGAACCTTTTCCTGGGGACCGCATGTGTTCGTCCCGAGCCTTTCCGTCACTGTCTACGAAATCGAACAGGAACCCAAAGAGGCCTAAAACTGTCAAGCACATCCGCCGTTACATCTTCTCCACGATGTGAGGATGTCGGGATCACGCCCTGCTGCGGATGCACAATTAGATTCTCTTTCCGGGGACATTCCTAGGGCCATTCGCTCCACTCGTGCGCCGATGCTGTGTCGAATCGAAGTTCTGACAACTTGAGTATAACTCTACTCGAACTCGAGCCGTGGTTGAGTCGAGGAACAGACGAGCTAAAGTTTGGCGGCGAGCCCAGAAAGAAGTAAGAAGGGGCGGGCCTTCCCGGAAAGCTCGGACGTCCCACGAACTTCTGCGAGGTGTTCTAACCCTTCCCCGGAGACGCAGATGGTGCCAGAACTTCCTTCTGAGAAGCCCCGCCGCCTTCTGAGAAGGCTTTCTCCTTCTCGTCTCCCCCCCTCGCTCGCCGCCAGTATTACTGCACCGACCTTGCAAACGTGCTGCAGGGGATTCTTGAATGGATTTCTACCAATGCAGAACCCCGAAACGGCGAGCGAACAACGAAATGAACGTCATGTGGATGTTTGTGGTCTTCGCTCCTGGCCGACAAAAATCCGCGCGAAACTCGCCCCGAAATCCGGAACGAGACTCTCCCGGACAATCCGGGCCCATCCCATCGCTTCCCGAGCGACCTTGCAATTCGCTCTGCGATGTTGGCGCCATGGCCGACAGAGCCGGGCTGCAGTCGAACTCCAGGGAGCCTCACGTCGCGCATCGCGCCCCGCGACGCGCGGCTCCTCCCCGCACGCCCTCGCAGCCCTCGCGCCGCCAGCATCCCTGGAGAAGGGCAGGCGTCCCGGCCCACGGCCGCGACGCGCGGCGCGCGCGACGCGATCTCTCTCTCTCTCTCTCTCTCTCTCTCTCGTCGCGCCCCTGGGGCTGACCTGGGAACCGATCCGTTACTGAAGGGGCCCTGGGACACACAAAGAAATACACACAAATAAAAAGATTCCCCATCTTTTGCCATACTCTTCTGGGCTTCTGTCTTCCCCCCCACTGCCCATATTTTCCCATATTTTTTGGGAATGGACGATTAATTGTGTCTGTGTGTGTTTTTTCCCCCTCCTGCATTACGTCAGGTTCGTGTCGTGCCGGCTTCGGCGTGGGTTTCTGACACCGCGGGGGTCTTTCCACCTTGAGAACGATCGGCCGTGTCCGGCACGTCCACATCGTTCCACATGAACCAATTCCGCGTCGCCCGCTGCGTGTATATGGATACGACCGGGGAGTCGAGCCTATACGATCCTCCGCTGGTAGACATGAAGGCGGAAGAGGTTAGCTACTCCTCTTCCAGGGCGCTGCGCGGAGAGCAGCGCGGTGTGCGCACCAATACCTGAGCCGATACGTTAGCTGTATGTGATGATATAATGGTGATATGAGCGGACTTTTGGGGGGCGGAAAGATACGGATACGTGTTGTCCCCGGACCTCTCTTGGGGTGCGTTCTGACCAGAATTTCGAGGCGAATCCAGCGGTGACAACGAGAATTCCCCAGGAGGACCAGGAAAGGCCGAAAACGAAGGGGGACGACACGTATCCGTATCTTTTTCTCCCCCGAGACTTCACACACACACACACACACACACACACCGCGTTCCACGCTGAACGCTGCGGGGTCGCCGCCGGGCGACACGACAGGAACCCGCCGTTGCTTCGAGGGCCTCCTGCTTGCCATCGCTCGGGCGTCTGCTCCCTGTGCATGCATTTCGGCCTCGTGCATGCACTCTGCTCCGCAAGATGTCCTCCTCCTCCTCCTCCTCCTCCTCCTCCGCCGAGAGAGAGAGAGAGAGAGAACAAACACTGCACGCGGCCGAGCGATGCCACGCCGCCAGAGAAAACAAACGCTGCACACGTCCGAGCGACACCTCGCAGCAGCTGGGGTCGGATGACCGCACCGCATCGCCGCCGCATCGCCGATGCGTCGGCGACGTCGGCAACGCACCAGCGACGCCGGCGCGGAGAAACTCGGCGCCTCCACATCGAGCCGCCTCGCCGAGGGATCCGCGATGCCTCGGCGGTGCTGCGCGAGACCCTCCGACCCCGCCCCCGTCTGGGAGGCCCGGACCGGCGGGCCCCGGGGAGGCAGGAGAGCCCAGAGTCGCATCGACACGTCGAATCGATGCGTGCGAAAGGAATCGGATCCGCGGAGCTCGGCAGCCGAGTCGGGAGGAGTCGAATCGGCGAAAATCGGTAAACGATCAGGCCTCCAATGAGAAATCGGACTCCGGATCGGATTCCAAAGCCGAATAGAATCGGAACGGGAGGCCATCGACGTCGAAGCGAATCGAATCGGAGGAATCGAAACGAGCCTCCTGGAAAGGGCCTCGAGACGAACATCTGAGAACAGCCCTCGCGGCACGCAGCGAGAGCAAGGCGGGGGGGCCTCTCCCCCACGACCTCGGCGTCCCTCCTGCGAAGGAGGGGGCAAGCGGCGCGCCAGCCCGCGGGGGCCGCAGCTTCGGGCCCCGCGCTGCGCTGTCCTCCCTCCCCTCCGCACGATGCAAGACGACCTCATACTTGCGCGGCAAAACTCGGGACGCGGACAACTCGGAAATTCGCCGAGCTCTTAGAGTTAGGTCGGGCATGTCCCCCCTGCAGGCGGATTTTGGACGCCTAATACAAAACATGCCAAACGTATTCAACAATAGTCGAAACATGGTCGAATAATCGTCCCCATACTATTGTTTGACTCTTTTAAATATATTCCTCCTGTAGCGGGACACGCCTGACGCAGAATTAGGATCGCTTGTGTGCAAAACCGCTGCCCTTCCCCAAACCCCTTCCCAAGGAAGCTGGCCCCGCTGGCCTAAGAGGCGGGGTGCCTGGAAGAGGTCTGGCGGCCACGGTTGCCCCAGAAATTTTACCAGACGGCCCCAAACGGCGCCGAACTGGCCTCCATGTGGACTCAGATGGCCGCAAAAAAGCCAAAGGCCGCCAAAACGCCCCCCAGAGGGCTCCAACAGGAACCCCCAAAAGGGCCCCAATCAGCGAAAACCATTCGTTCCCCAACGAATTGACATGTTCTGCGCACTCGCCGTTGGATTCACATGTGTCCGAGACGGCCCAAGAAGCCTCCAAGATGGCCAACTCAAAAAGGCCCCATATGGCCATAATACCCCCGAGCGGCCTCAAAAACGCTCCCAAAAACCCTCCAAATGTCCACGCCCTGCGCGCTCCAGACGGGCATCCCGGGAACCGCGAGGAACCTAGTGTCCAATGACACACGAAACCAGAACAAACAACCCACCGCCCGTGATCTTGCCCGCGGGAGCAGCTCCGGCCCTCTGCACTTGCCCTTGCGGCCGTTTCCTCCGCAGCCTCCTCCGTCCCCCTTCCCTGATCCTTTATCGTCCTTCCCCTCCCATTTCGGCTACACGCAAGAGTGACCCTGGGTAAGAGTGACCTTTGGTGCGCGGCTTCTTTGGGGCCGCGGGGGGACCAAACTTGGGCGCGCACGCCGCTGCTCCTGCTTCAATTTCAGCCACCTGGGGGCCCATCTGTGCCCGCACCAAAGGTCACTCCAGCGAAAGGTCACTCTTACGTCTAGTCGACCATTCCTCCGCCAGAGACGGGCTCATGTGCTGTGCGAGACGCAGAAAGGCACCTGCAGCAGAAACCCTCCAAGCAGTTTGCAACAAGCCTCCAGGCAGCTCGCGAAAAGGCAGCTCGCGAAACACCCAGGGACCAACGGGGACTCCGCGCTCGCCGCCATCCTAACAGCAGCGCCAACAAAACCATCACGACCAACACGCCAGTGTGTCTGGGACCGGGCCACAACGGACACACATCAAGGAGCAGCAAGCGCGAACGCCACTGCCCGCCACCAAAGTGATTTGTGTCTTTGACTCCACCAGTTCTTGGGGGCTTCTGGTGGCAAGCGCTGTTCCATGGCGACAGTGAGAGAACCCTCACGAAGCCAACAAAAACCCAAGGGGCTCGGCGGTGTGGCGTGAACCTTCGAATCTCTGTGAGATGGCGGGCTTGGACGATGTGTCGGGCGCCGCGGCCGGTTACGAAGCCCTCAGCTCGCCATCGCTCGGACGTCCATTCCCTGTATTTTTGTTCGGTTTCGTGCGTGGTGTTTTCGCCAAATGATCAAGGATGCTCCTCGATGGCCCTCGCCGAAGGAAAAATACACACGTCCGAGCAATGCCAAGTCAGGGGCACTTTATCGTCGACCTGGACCTGCCAGACCCCTTCGTCGAATACTTCACGAAGAGTTATCGGTGCGCGCTAGCGTGTGGGCGAGATGGCGTGTTTCGCGCCTCGGTTGCAAAAGAAAGCCAGAGGATGGGGGGCGAAGAAGGACGGGGGAGTGGAGGAGAAGGACGACGAGGGTTGCAGGATACTAGATGGGGTGAGAGAAGAAAGATAATAAAGTCACGACGAGAATAACGTCACGACGTCCCACGCGAGGGCGCGACCTTGAAGGATCAGGCGGGAGCCGTTGCTGTTATTCTTGCTGTTGATGTTGTAAACCAGGGGCCAGGGGCACAATTTGATGGCACCTCAATGTCCCTTGAGAAAACCAGGGTGCAAGCCCCGGGAAGCAATTCATTTGAAGAATACATTGGTTACCGAAGGGGGGATCAGCACTAATGGTTCTTGAGAAAAGAATAATCACCAACAACAACCCCACGCTGAAGCAAGGGAAATGGCTTGGCTTATGAGGGGCTGTGGTCGCCGGGCCTGTCTTCAGTTCTAGACTGGGGGACCTATCAGTCATCGAGGCTGGCCGCGGCCACAACCCACCCGTATGTCCTTTCTGGGTAGCACGGTGACGGCTGCAGGCCCCTGTCTCGAACGGGCTCGCATCCTGTCCATCCTGGTTGTCCCGAGTACGGAATCCTCCTTCGCCTACTCCTGCTCCTCGCCCCCTCCACCTATCTTTCCTGCTCGTGCTCCTGCTCGGCATCATCACCATCACGGGGGGTAAGTGGAGAAGGACGGCGCGGAGGTGGAGAAGGCAGAGAAGGATCGGGATTTGGAGTTGAAACAAATGAGAACGAGGCGACAGCGAACGACATGGGGGACACAAGGTCGTCGACGACGAAAAAGCAAAAAAGAAGGGATAGGAGGGAGATGACGAGGAGGACGAGGACACCGAGGAGGACGACGTCGAGAAAGACGCATGAACGTGGAACTAATTCAAATGCGAGGACGAGGGGGCCGAGTCGAGGATGATGATCGCTCAGAATCAACCCCGCATCGGCTGGGCGGCGTGCGAGATGGGGGACCACGCGTAGGAACGCTGCGGCCCGCCTAATCCAAGTGACCTCGGCAGTGTTCAGGACTAGAGTCTAGGAGGGACGCCATGATACGATTGGCCCACATGCAGTATGAGAGTTCAAAAAAAAGCAGCGGCAAAGGAACCGCAGAAATCTTGCAGTGCACCCCTCAATCATTGCCGTAAGAGCCTGAGGCTGCGAACGCAGTGAACGCTGCCTCCTGCGGGGGCTCGAGCCGACTCCGCACGGATGCACCGCCTTCTCTGGTGCGAGCGGCCCTGCGCGGCCTCCCGGCGTTGCACCACCAAGCGCGGCCCCCAAGCGCGAACCCCCAGCGAGGCTCCAATGCCTGGCACTTTGGAGTCCCGAAACAATGCCGTGACAGACCGTGCGGTGACCTCGAAATCCCCCAAGACCTCACCGCACGGTCCGTCAACGCACGATTGTGGGACCTCGGATGCCCCAGTCGCCCGATTCATCCTCGGAGAACGACCCGAGTCCCAAAACCGTGCGGTGACCCCGAATCCCCACCGACTCACCGCACGGTGTGGTCACCACCCCTTCTTGGGGGCCCCCGAGGCACCCAAGCGTGGCCCTCAAGCGCGGACCCCAGAGAGACAAGTGCTGGACGGACGAGCGCGCGCCTGGGCTTACTACACTCTCTCAGCCCCCCCCCTCTGCGAACATTACGTCTCGCCGCTCTAGAATGCACACCCAGCATCAGCGCTACGATCCCTTCCTGAACTCAGGCGACCGCGGCAACACTGGCGCGCCAAAGCAGTCTCAGATGCGGCTGCTCGTGATCGGGTCTCAAAGTCGACCCCCGAGTCTGGTTCTGGGGCGCACACTGGCCAGCACCATGCGGCGAATCCAGCCGAGGCCAACACCATGCGTACACTGGGCAACACCATTATTTCCGTTGCTCTCCAAGTGCGCAACGGAAAGAAGCGGGTCTTACCCATCGGTCGGAAGAATGAGGTAGAAACATGAAGTAGGAAGGCGTTGAACATGAATTAGGTGTCCGCCACCCCCTAAGAAAGACGGAAAAGGGGAAGCCACTCGATCATTGAAGGAGGAAGGCGCTGAAAGTAGATTGGGATCTTGGAATCCACAAATACCTACTTCAACGACCGATGGGTACGTGAGATGGCATAGCGACCTTACGCGGTGGCTTACGCAGGCCGCCAGCGTGGCACGCCGCACTGGAAACGAGGGCGCCTAGGCGGCAATGTCGGCGAATTCGACCCCGCGTGAATCCATCGCTCACGTGGCCCAGCGCACAGATGCACACCAAAACAAATAGATCCTCGATCCTGGGTTCTCCCCCCCCCATCCCTTCCTCTTTCTCCCTGCCCGCCACGGCCGCCCCGTCCTCTGGATGGCGTGGACGCGCTTGCGCAAGTCTTGGCAAGACTTCCTCCGCGGCCGCCGCCGCTGCCGGGTCGACGTCTCGGCGAGGCGGCGGACGGTGGCCAGGAGCTCGGAGAAGGCACACGGGAGGACGGAGCGGACAGGGGACTGACGCGCCGAGGGATGGCAACAGGGAGAAGCGGCACTACCACCACCAGGGACCAACAGCGGGAGGAGCCATGTGGGGTCCCCTGGTGGTATGTCCCCCACACACCCCTCGCTCCAGACGCCCCCGATCCCAAGCTTGGGGAAGCATCGTGGACACCTCGCTTGCGATCCCCCCCCCCCCACTGGTGGTGGTGCCGTTTTTTTCCCCCGGGAGAGGAAGAGCGCACCGATGACCACAAGGAGGAAGCACGCACGGGCTAGGATCAGGTCGGGCATGTCCCCCGACATGCGGATGTTGGAGGAAGCATGAACAATTGCCAAACAGCATTCGACAAAAAACACAAAAATAGTCAACAAATCGTCCCATGACTATTTTGTCCAATATTTTTGGATACTCCTCCTGAAGAGGGCGCCCGGCGTCGAACCCGAGGCCCCGCCGCGGAGGCGCAGAGGGCTCCCCTCGAAGAGGCTGCCCCCTCTGAGCCCAGCGCGCACTCGGGCTGCCCAGGACCTCCCCCAACAAACAAAAGATGCAGAAAGGCGGAGGAGAGGAGGGGGAGAAGGGGAGGAGGGGGAGGAGGAGGAGGAGGAGGAGGAGGAGGAGGAGGAGGAGGAGGAGGAAGAGGAGGAGGAGGGGGAGGAGGAGGGGAAGGAGGAGGAGGAGGAGGAAGAGGAGGAGGAGGAGGAGGAGGAGGAGGTCGGGAGGTCACAACACAGAAGCGGAGGGAGATCCCGAGAGAAATCGCCCCTGGACTGTTCGCGGACTCCTGCTTGGCCTCAGTCCTTGCCGCCGCTGCGGCCAGCCTCTGCTCATGGGCAGGCGATGGCCCAGCTGCTCGGCTGCCGCGGCCAGCTGGTCTCAGGTCGGGCATGTCCTCCTACAGGCGGATCTTGGAGAAAACATCCGCAGAAACAAAAACTCAAACACATACGACAATGACCAAACATAGGCAACAAACCGTCCCGGGATCAGTTCTTCACCAGTTTATATATATATATATATATATATATATATATACGCCTCTTCTGGAGGGACAGGCCCGCCTTACACAGCTGGTCGCTCTCCATGACGAGGCCGCCGAGGCGCCGCGCAGGGCCGATCGCGACCTCGCCGGCCGCGGCAGTCCCCGCCTGCGCGGTGCGATTTGGGAGCCTGCGGACCGCCGCGCTCGGGAAGACCCGGGCCGACTACCGCAAGGGCACGCATCGCGAGAGCCCCTGCCGAGACGCTCTGGCAGGCAGGAACGTGCACGGAGCCACACGGAGGAGGAGGAGGAGGAGGAGGAGGAGGAGGAGGAGGAGGAGGAGGAAGAGGAGGAGGAGGAGGAAGAGTAGGAGGAGGAAGAGAGAAGGAGGAGGGGGAGGAGGACGATCGGGAGGATCGAGGGGAGGAGGGGGAAAAAGGAGGAGAAGCGGGTGAAGGGATCTCGCCTTCTCCCTCCCTGGTCTCCCCTCTTCTCCCTCCCCCCCCCCCTCGAGGTGAGGATGGACCACCTCCCCTCCTTCCATATGTTGCATCTCCGGGGGACCTGACCTCGTCTGTCCCGTCGCGCCGCCGGCCGCGTCGAATCCATGCATCCATGTCGAACTCTTCGAATCCGCGTCGACTCCACATGGAAACCGCGTCGAATCGACGTCAGATCCGCGCCGCGTCCGCATCAAGCCCATGCCGGGCACAATATAAACCACCAATTTTGAGCAGACAGGCCAGGCCCCCCGAAGATGCAACGTAACCGCCCCAAGCGTCGGAACGCATCCACGAACCAGGGATCCCGCTTCGCGTCCAGAGGATGAGGAGCAGGGAAACAGGAGTAAGAGAAGGAGGCAAAGGGGGGGATCGGCAGGGGGGGAAAATGAGGAGATGGGCTCCTCCCCTCCTCCCTACCCCCTCCTCCCCTTCCCATCTTCTTCTCCTCCTCCTACTCCTCCTTTTCCTCCTTTTCCTCCTCCTCCTCCTCCTCCTCCTCCTCCTCCTCCTCCTCCTCCTCCTCCTCTCCCTCCCCTTAGCATGGGGGGGACGGGTCCTGAGCTAAACGGATCCTGGGCCCTGGGGCCTTCCTCGAGGACGAATTCTTCATCCTGAGTCGTTCTCTGACGTTCCCAGGGCCCGTGGAGTGCCCCGAGAGTCCAAACACGGCGAAAGAACCCATGACCCCTTGCTCTCAGGACCCGTTTCCCCCACGGCGATCCGTCTTCCTCTCCCTCCAACCCCCCTCCTCGCCAAGTCGTCGACGACGACTACGACGACGCCGACGACGACGACGACGATGCCGACGACGACGACGACGACGACGACGACGACGACGACGACGACGACGACGACGACGACGACGACTACGACGACGACGACGACGACGACGATGCCGACGACGACGACGACGACGATACCGAAGCTGCCGACCGCCGCCGGCCGCCGCCGACGTCGACGTCGACGTGCGACAGCGTTGCAGCGCACCCGCGGTCGCCGCGGCGCTGCCCGCCCGGGACCGCGGCCGCGTCAGCGCCGGCCGCCCCGCTGCGCCGGGGGGGCCGCGCGCCGCAGCACGTCGTCGATGGGCATCGGCTGCCAGTCGTCGCCGTCCTCGGGGGACCCTCCACCCTCCTCTCCCTCTTCCCTCCTCCTCCTCCCTGCTCCCCCTCCCTCCTCCCTCCTCCTCCTCCTCCCTCTTCCTCCTCCTCCACCTCCTCCTCCTCCTCCCTCCCTCCCTCCTCTCCTCTCCTCCTCCTCCTCTCCTCCCTCCTCCTCCTCCTCCTCCTCCCTCTTCCTCCTCCTCCTGCTCCTTCTCTTGCTCCTTATCCTCCTCCTCCTCCTCCTCCTCTTCTGAGATGTTCATTCTTGAGATCTTCTCGTAGCCATGCTGCGTCGAGCGTCCGTCGACCTGAATCCAAAACGAGTGAACGTGAGTCGACCTCGAGACAAACTAGAATCAAACTAGATGCGAAGTAGATATTCCTCGGACAGACCCGCTAGGTGGCCCCAGGGAAGGTCCCAAAACCAACATCTAACTCTTCCTCCTTCTCTTCTCGACTTCCTTCGACGCGACGTGCACCATGTTGCTGTCCAAATACACAGACACCGACCCGAGCTGGTAGACCTGCTTGCCGTTGTGTCGGGACTGCTTTGGGCGGAAGACCAAGCCGTGCTCTGCGGCCACGTCCGCGAGGTAGTCACCGAGGAGGAGAAAGAGGAGGAGAAGGAGGAGGGGACCAAACGGTACCGATACCGCTAAAACCGAGACTTCTCCCAGGGTGCGTTCTGACCAGGATTTCGAAGCGAATCCAGCGGTGGCGAGGAGGGCCCCCCAGGAGGCTCGAAGAAGAATAAGAAAACGGGCGAGGGGGTAGAAGCATGGGTACCTTGTCCTTCTCTGCGAAGACGAGGTGGAGTAGGAGGAGGAGGAGGAGGAAGGGCAGGTGAAGGAATCCTCGGGTCGGATGTGCAGGAGAAGGATGTGTAGGAGGAGGAGGAGGACGACGAGGAGGAGGAGGAGGAGCAGGAGGAGGGAGGAGGAGGAGGAGGAGGAGGAAGAGGAGGAGGAGGAGGAGGAGGAGGAGGGGCAGGTGGAGGAATCCTCGCATCGGATGAGGAGCGCGAGGAGGGGGAGCACGAGGAGGAGAGGCACGCAGGAGGCAGGGAGCAGCAGGCCCAAGGAGAACGGGCGCGCGACGAGGAGAGCGGCCACCGCGAGGTCAAGGAGGGGAGCCAGGAGAGGACCGCCTGCACGCAAGCATACCTCGAGCAACACTTGCCTCTGGTGTTAGGCCGGGCATGTCATCCAACAGGCGGGCTTTGGAGGACAAGTGAAAGCAAGTCAGGCCATACCCAAGGAATAGTGGGAAACCTAATCGGAGCGTCGTCCTAAGACTAAGTTTGGGCTATGTTTGAATTTTCCTCCTGTAGAGGGACATGCCCGGCTTAACTCTGGTGCGCGGCCTGGAAAGCTCGCGGGGGGGACCCGAACCCGAGCGCGCCGGCCCGTGCCCCCGGACACCGCCGTGGGAGAGGCCACTCTGGCGAAAAGTGATTCTCACGCGGAGCCGGGATCGGAGGAGGGCCCATTGCTGTTTTCTGTTGTTTTTCTTTAATCGGGGGAGGGCACATTGAGACAACGGCGGCTTGCTCGCCTGGCCCAAAAAAACTCAAACTCGGTTCGCCGACCCCTCCCTGGCCCATCCCAGCTCGCTTTTCGATGCCGATCCGGCCGTGGCGACGACCAGCTTCTGGGAGACTCAGCTTCTAGGCGATTGGGTGCCGATGCTCCCCCCGTGGGCCCCGGCAATCTCCCCTTAGAGGACGACGACAGCGGACCGACGACCATGACGACGACGAGATGACGACGACGAGGGGGAGAAGGAGGCGGGGGAGGAGGAGGAGGAGGAGGAGGAGGAGGGGGAGGAGGAGGGAAAGGAGTAGGAGTAGGAGGAGGAGGAGCAGGTGCAGGAGAATGAGCAGGAGCAGCAGCAGGAACAGGAGAAGGAGGAGGAGGAGGAGGAGGAGGAAAAGGAGGAGGGAAAGGAGAATGAGGAGGAGGAGGAGGAGGGGGAGGAGAATGAGGAGGAGGAGGAGGAGGAGGAGGAGGAGGAGGGGAGAGAATGAGGAGGAGCAGGAGCAGAGCAGGAGGGAGGAGGAGAGGAGAGGAGGAGGAGGAGGAGGAGGAGGGGGGAGGAGGGGAGGGGAATGAGAGGAGGAGGAGGACGACGACGACGGGAAGCTTCCAGGATACCAAAATCCGCCGCGAAGCACGACACAGAGAGCCGCCGTCGGCTCGGCCGGGGCCCCCTCTCCGGGATGCCCGCAGCGCCGAACGCCGGGCCTCCCCGTCGTAATACTCGACCCCCTGCAGGCAGAGCGACTCCGTCACGCGATGCGAAGTTCCCCCTCCCCACCGAATCCCCCTC